CAGTCTATGAAAATGTCAGCGTTCATGTATCCAGATGGATTACAAGAGAATTTGGTTCCATCTGTCGCTTCTTTCTTGAACGATTCGTACATCCGTACATATTTTTTGCTGAATTTCCAGCAAAATAAAATGCCGAGCTGCTCGGTGGTGCCCATCTCGGCAAAAAAATCTAAGTGTGAGCAAATATAACACCAGTCGCAGACATACATAGTTTTTCACTGAGATCCAGCAAAATAAAATGCTGAGCTACTCGGTGGTGCCCATCTCGGCAAAAAAAAACCAAGTGTGTGGAGGCATAGTTCCCCTATCCGATAGAATTAGTGACATACATGGATAGACTTTGAATTAGAAAGAAGACATTGTTTACGTCTGCGACATTAGCCCTTATGAACGTTCAGTGTCGAACTGTGATGTTGAGAAGGATTCCGTCAGAGATCGATGAGGAATGTGGGTGCTTCTCTTGGTTGGATACTTGTACGGAAGAATCATGAAATTGAGCATAATTCGGTTGGGAGGCTGAGGTGGTTGCAAGAGCAAATGAGTTTTGGTTGATGGCTGGATGGCTGGATATCGGGAGTACTGAGATGATGTCCGGATCTTGCGAGGGAGGTTGTTGGGTGGAAGCGGTATAGGAGTCTTTATAAAATGTGTATGGTTATTTTGCTTAATGACGCGCTCAGGGTATCATCCAAACCATTTATGGAATTATTCTGTCATTTGGGTTATCGTTCTGATATGGTATTTTTTCCCTAGGAAGGAGGGCCGAGTTAGGCTTCTCCTTCTACTGCTGATAGGTTGCCAACCGGGGAATGGCATGCTTCTGATATTCAAACAGAGAATGAGAACGGTGGTCATGAACCAGAGACAGAGGAGGGAGGGGACGAGTATGCAAGCCGGATTCCTTTTGGAGTGCAAAGAGGTCGGATTGGCTGACATGACTTGAGGTGGATTCTAGTCCTATCTTTGATGAGTTCTTCCAGATGTTGAAAATCAATTTACGGAACTGAGAAGTGCATCTGCCGGATCCTTTTCCTGTATCTGGTCCACTACCACTGCTTAGGGTGCAATTTTGCATCAACTGATGATTACTTTACTGTACGGGCAGGTGAGGGTGGTTGTTGTTGTTGTTGCTCCAAGGAACGTGGCCTAAAATTTCAGCTCGATTTGCGATTTACTTTGTCCATGAGATTGAACGAATGCGAAAACCGAACGGGAGAGTACCTTGTAGGCGGCGCTCAGCAGTGTGATCGAGCGGTAGTTGCAGCAATCCAACTTAGTGCAGTGCTTCCCTAGCCAGTGCTTCACCACCGTATTTTAATAGCTCACTTAGAAGTTGATCTACACCAGCTGCTTTGTTGTTTTTCAGTCGATCAATCTCCTCCTCAACTTCTTGAAGATCAGGGGCCGGTTGCCTGTCATCTTTTGCGCGTGCTCCCAGGTCTGTTGCCGTGGCACCATCAATATAGCCAGAAACCACCATCAATATAACGCTATAACGTGTTATAACTCTGAAGCCTGAACGTACTATATCAATCCACATTCAATCTCGTGCGGGGTGGCAGCATTTTCGCCCATGCTGCATTCTTCTCTTCTACTGACAGTTTGCATTCGCCGTCAAACCAGTCATTTCATCGGTCCGTGATCTCAGTACTCAGTGCCGCTACAGCAGTACTACCTATGGCAGAACGGATGTCCCTGCAGCCATCTTCAAGAGTAACTGCGCCAAGCTGGTCTTCCGTAGGTACCTAACAAACATTGCATGCTGGCAAAAATATGCTTCTTCAGCTAAACAATTGCTTATTCAGCGATTATTCATCTCAAATTGTTTGTTGGGTAGTGCAGTTTCCAGCTGCTGCACGTTATCTTGGCGAACTCCGGCGTCCTGTAATTGCTCAATGTTTGGTTGCGGCGTTCGACTTCGACGGGAGTTATGCACCGTCGAGAGTTTTGAGCGCATGCATACTGCAACTAAGTAGTGGTCCGCGGACGTTGATAATGTCTGAGAAGAATTTCCCGTCGATTAGAACGTGGTTGATTTGGTATTCTGTGTGTTGGTCAGTCTACAGCCTCTGCGGCAGCATATCAGCAAGTCAAACGCGCACTTTTTTGCCTTTACATTTGAAGAAATACTTCAAGTATCGTCATGCATTAATGTATGAGATAGGTGAAGAAGTGTGCATGTGACTAGTACGGTCGCATTAATTGCCAGCTGAATTATCAATCTATCCTCTTTAGACCTTTCTCTAGCTAATAAATTATCACACTTCAAAACTTCATGTTTATATTAGTATAGCATTTCCAACCAACTCTGAAAATCGTAGACTTCACCTATGAAGTAACAAAAAACACTTTGAATATAACTAGGGGAAATGACGGCTTCGGCATGACAGACTATTTTCGGCAACCCAAATTGAAACACTATTTTCACTGGATTTTCTTACGAAAACACTTCGCTGAATGCATGCAAACGATTCTTTATGCTTTCAGCTTCAATTTGACTATATTTTTACCACTGAGAAAAAGCAATCTAGCAAGGTTTTCTTGAAATGCAACACACGCACTACAAATTGTAGCTGATTTCGAGTTGCCGATAATAGAACAGCAGATTTACATGCAGTTCAAATGGAACGGTTGCCGAAGAAAAACTGGTTGCCGACAATACTCGCTCTCACTAGAGAAGATTGGAGCTTTGTAAAAGCGTTTCAAAACAGTTTTTGACAATTCTTTCGACTGAAATTGTTAGAGCAGCTGGCAGCAAAAGATTGTAAACAAACCAATACTGCATATGTGTGCGTTCCATAGAGAAAAAGGCTATAGAAAGAAGGTCGCTGCTTTGGTTGCCGAGAATACGTAAATTCCCCTATGTGATATAACTTACTCTGTTGATAGGCCACTAAAACCCGCCATCTTGTCATTCGGCATGTTTCTCATGCATGTAGGTACTATGTACAGGTACGCGTGTTGTGTTTATTGAGATGCGTAATTTATCGTTGCATACTTTTAGGCTATTATCTGGAATGCGGAGATAACACCAGCTCAAACGATAAATTACGTACCTGTACCTGCACTCCTGTGCAAGGATATTAAAAATTCATGTGTATTTTTTTCATTGAATCAAATTTGCGCACAAAAAATTCAATTACAGGTATACCTCTACTAGTTCGTGACTTCCATAGCTAGGTATAGCTACACGACTATTTGAGTTCAGTTTACTCATAATCGCAACAAGTGCAGGGACTCAGCGATGAGTAAATTTGACGAAAATTTTACTCAGTCTAGGAGTAGTACTAATAGACTGAGAGAATCCAATATTTACTATTCTCATATTTTCCTGGAAAAACCTGGAAAAACATGAGGTAAATTTAGTCATCGCTGAGTTCCTGCACTTTTTGTGATTTATGAGTAAACTGAACGTTACGTTAAGTTACGTTTTATCGAGGTATGACTGTAGCTATTTTCAACATAACTATTTCAGTGTCAACATTTCATTAGAGTGAAACTGATTTTGTGTACAATAAATTCAACAGACGGTTTAACGCAAATAAAAGCTCACTCCTGAAAATTAATTATGCCAGCTAGTTGAGGAAATATGTCTCTATCTGATGGTGTCGTTACTTTGCATTTGTGAGCTTTTATTCACGAGAAATCGACGGCTAAAGCCATTGTTTACAAAAGCAATTTAGCCCTTTTGAAAAGTTGGCACCGATTTGTTGAGGCCCAAGCGAAATGACAGCGGAAAAGTCCGGTCTGAGTAAGCCTATTTGTCGGATTGGAAACTGGTTAGACGTCATTTGTGACAACTATCAAACTTTCCGATTCCGATCCGCTTCCGCCCACATTGCGGTTGGGCCTTTACTCTATGTGGGATATAAGGCGCCACGCGGAATGTGGAAAGCATAACCATCAGGCGCGAGCCTTCGAATTCAATAGAGGAAGAACATTGATAAAATGTAAATGTATGCTTCCTTGCAACGAAATCAGTTTTCATTATGTCCTTTTTGCCCCGGAGTATGTATTTGTAAAACAGGTCTGTTGGTCTTTTTTAATTCTACCAATTGAAACAATAATTACGTAATTTTCGCTAAGCATTCCATAAAAGTAAAACTTGTTTTGCTTGTTTTCCTATTCTAAAAGGACAGTTATGCGTTTTACCTTACCTTACCTTACCAGTTCTACAATTTATTGATTCTTTAATTTTCAAAAATGTATCGGTTTTTAAACATCATCTGAAAGAGCTTCGTTTTCTGAGCACATACACTTTCATCTCGATTTTTAAATCAATATTTAAAGCAAAATAATAACTTCACTGTTTGACACTAAACTAACAAACTGACAGCTCGCTCCCATGCAAAGTGCCACCGAGGGGCCTAAAGGTGATGATTGTTATCGTACTTATTTAAAATAGTTCCAGAGTACCAAAATTGATGAAATTTTGGATTTGGGTTCTATTTTTAATGCAGATTACGAATATGCATTTACCTCAATACCCAAAGAACCCAATTGCCGAGACTCAGCTAACAAATAACATTTTGCTGAGACATCAGCTAACATACAGATATTTTGCAGAGATATCATCAAAAGTAAATGCCGAGGTAATCGGCTGTTGGAGATTTTACCGAGCTAGATTAAGTGTGTTGCACTTAAATTTTGTCGGTGATTAAATCGTGTCACTTTATGGATTAAATGGGGATCTTCCTTAAGATGGGCATTTTATCCTCTTTTCCCTATCTCATTTCTAGGTGCGCCTGATTTTAACCACGTTGTTCACTAATTTTCAGCTCCAGATCATCATTTACTGGTCAAAGTAGCTCGGCAAATGATTTTTCACCTTTAAAAACGACTATCAGTGTGTCACCCTTCTTTTTTCCCCCCGTTGACTTTGTTTCCCTCAAATGCCTTGCTTTGCGATGCTGGCCGACCTACGTCACTGTATTTCATTCAAACATGTTGTTGAGTTAGCCTTACTGGAAACTAATTGATCTACCATTTTTCATTTCTAGGTGGAGGAACAGTGGCGCTACACGCTGACCGCCTTCACGTTGAGCTTCTTCGGTAGTTGGATTCTGTTCGCCATCCTCTGGTATCTGGTAGCGTACGCGCACGGTGACCTAGACTTTGACCCAGAGACCGGGGAACGGCTTGGTGATGGTGCGCAACCCTGTGTCGACGGGGCAACAACATTCGCTGGATTTTTGCTGTTCAGCATTGAAACCCAGGTATCTACCGGATATGGTGCCAAAGTTCCCACGGAAGAATGCGCCGAAGCATTATTTCTGTTGATAGTACAAATTATAGTTGGCTTGGTGATAGACGCCTCCATGGTGGGTATTGTTTATGCCAAGATGGTCCGGCCACCGAAAAAGATCTCAGATATGAAATTTAGCAAGAAGGCTGTCATATGTCAACGGGATGGCAAGTTATGCTTCGTTTTTCGATTGTGCGACGTACAGCAGCAACATGGCATCGAAACCAAAGTTAAAGCAGTCATGCTGGAGCAACGCCGATCACTGGAAGGAGAGGTGATCGAAAAGAACGAATCCTACATGAACCTGGAAAATGACGGTCGCATACTGCTCATGTGGCCGGTAACGATTTGTCACCTTATAGACCACGAGAGTCCACTGTTCGACGTCTCGGCAAAAGATCTGCTGGAAAAAAAGTTTGAAATTATCATAACACTTACCGGTGGCACAAAGACAACCGGACAGGTTACGGAAGCGAGAACTTCGTACCTGCCCGGAGAGATCTGGTGGGGCCATCGGTTTCAGAATATTATTCTGTACGATAGAGCCCACGAGCATTACGTGGCGCACAATGAGCATGTGGATGCGATCGAACAGGTGGATACTCCGCTGTGCAGTGCTCGAAGGCTGGAGGAGGTGTTCCAAGAGGTGACACAATTTATGGAGCATGATCGTGAGAGAGAATTCGATGGGGTCGAGAGCAAGTCCGAACAGGCCGGACAGCAAGATGAGGTTGGACGTGAAACGCTTTCATGCGATATGAATAGAGTTAATTTATGGTGCATTATTTTTTCTTTTCTTCACAGGACAGCGATTCTGATGGGGGCCTTCAAATGGAACAGCTGAAGGAATCTTGCCAGTTGCCCAAGGATGAAAACAACTCGAATCAACCAAAGCGTGTAGAAATTCCGGTTAAAAATTAAATATAATAATGAAGTTTCTCATATTTGCTATATAATAATAAATAGTATTTAACTTAAAACTCATTCTCGCTTCATGATCAGTATTCAATAGATAGCTCAATTAAACATAAAAACGCTTACCATCACTTTTTGGCTCCCCTCTGTTCCATCTCGGCTAATCGCCGCTTCAGCTCTTCATTCTCTCTCTGTAGTCGCATAAACTGTTGCGTAAAATCATCATTCGACAGCAGCAAACCAAACCCGGTTTGAGTAACTTCGTCGATTTTCTCCAACCTCTTTTGCGATTCTTGCCACAGATTGAACGAGCCCATCCAGATCTGACTGCGCGTAGCCATGGCCGTGTATTTTCGATCTACCTGATTCTGATAGAAGTGTTCTTTTATCTCTTCTCGCAACTCCTGGCGCAGGTTGGATATTTCCAGCTTCAGCTCTCGGAATGCATTCTGTACAGTTTCGGGCATTTCTTCATCGTTGATACTGCTGGTGGTTGTCTTGGTAGTAGTCACAGATTCCACTCCAGTGGCCTGATTTTCTTTGTCTTCAGTATCAACAGAGCGCCGCAGTGATGACCTCGTCGTACCTGCACTACCGGGTCTTTGAGATTCTACATTCGAATCAGTTTGAATTTCCTGCAAGGCACGGCTATTGTCCATGTCCGGTTCCTCTCGGATGTTCTCAAGATTGATTGCAGACTTTTGGGTTCGATCGACAGTCGATTGTTTCTTGATGCCAGCGGTTCGCTTTATTAGGCGATTAACATTGACATAACTTTCATCTGCCTGGCCCTGCGCCTCGTCCATCTGATCTGGGTCGGAATTATGGTCAGATATATCATCCAAATAACCCATCAGATTATTGCCGGCCATGTTGAGACTTCCACGAGATTCGGTACTCAATCGAGAAGAGGTACTCAGTCTCCCCATCTGAACCTCCATCGAGTCTCGTCTCTGTAGAAACATATCAATATCACCCATGAAACTATCCTGATCTGGTTTGTTTGGAACGGGCGAATCACTGGCCAGCGCCGTTGTCGCCGCGGAACTAGCCATTAGCGTCTCCTCTGTAGTTTTTGCAATCTGTGTCGGATCGAAACTCACTCGATTTCTTTCCTCTACATTGGATTTCAGAATAAACGAAACGCTGTTCACTATGCTCTCGTGAATTTTGGCAACCTTCAACGGTTCCGCTAGATTCCTTATGTCGTAACCGTAAATGTGTCCTTTCAGGTTACCCACCGCAAAATACCCACCACATTGGGAAACGTCCAGCGATTCGAATGGGTAGTTAGCAGAGATTTGCGTTGCTGGCAACTTTTTACGTGTGTCGAATATGTTGATAATATTATCGTAACCCACGGAATAAATAAGGTCCCCATTGGTGTCGGTCATTGCAATATCCCGGCAGGGTGCGCTATGAGCTTCCGTTTGATTAAAGACAATTTTCTTGGTCTGAGTATCGTAAAGCATGACGGAACCATTATAGGAGGCAACCGACAGCAGAAACCGTTTCGTCGGATGAAAACGAACCTTGGTTGTGCTGCAAGAACGCAAATTAAGGGATTCATAAAATTATACAGTTCGAACAGGTTAAAAAAGGTACTCACTGCTTATCGAACGTCATCGTTGCCATCCGGTTATTGGTCTTCGTTCCGTAAAGATTCACGGAGCCACTTTCGTAGACGGCCGCCAGGAATTCGTCCGTGGAACTGAAATCCATAAATGTGACCCCATTGGTGAGACGGTCCGCGTCGAACCGCTTTGTGTTTGACAATTTCTTGTAGTTGATCAAGCGGATCGCCCCGGACGTCAAACCCACGGCTATTTCCTCGCAATCCTTTTTTGGACAGGCCACGCAATACAGGTTGTCCATTGTGAATTTCTTTACTTGGGCGATCGTTGCTGTTTCCGAAGGAATAAATCAATCCAAGTTTTATCAGGTATCTATTCTAACAATTCCAGCAAGTTCCTTACATTTTCCATCGACGTCCCTGATACGCAGCATTTCGACGCCCCAGTTTTTATTGGCCCGGAGGAACAGCTTTGAACCGGGGAAAAAATGGCAAACGCTTCCATTGTTGTTGACATGGGCGCTGGCCACCAGTGGTTCCAAAGCCGGGAACGAATTTAGCCGGGTGTCCTTGGCGCAGGATATTATTTCGTACATTTTACGTCGTCTGCTTCACGGCTTTACGGAGATGTAACGCACATAAAATTGTCTTCGTTTGCACTAACAATGGACACTAAATAAGGGATTAATTTTCACAGGATTTTGAGAAGTTTAGCAGCTACCGGTTTTTGAGTTAAGCGGCGGTTTGCCGTTTTGGAGCATTTTGATTTTTGTTTGACATTCCTCTCCCGCGTGAGAGACTTCGAGAACGCCGAGATAACGTGAGAGCGAGAGAGAAATCTCGCGTCACTTTTCAAATAGACCAATGTAACATATCCACCATTTTGAGAAAATCGAAGTTGAAGTTCGACAGATTATTATTTTAACTGTTTAAAAACTATACATTTTGCAATACTATTTTTAATGTAGTCAGTGTCTAATAACGTTGAAAATTCAGAAGAAACGGTAAAATCACAATTTTACTTTGAATTTCATGCTACAACATAGAAAAAACCACATAGGACGTTTTGACAAGTCGAGTTGTACATCGGACATGTTACATTGGACGATTTTTCTCAATGACATAATCAATGAGTGTTACATTGGACGTTTTGTCTACATGATACTAGATTCCCTTTCACAGATTTCAGAGTATAGTACCTAACTTTAGATTGGCCCCGCCTTTGGAAAATGAGCACCAATCATGTTAGGCAGTCCGAATGACCGAAGTAACAATCATGTACCCATCATTTCAAACTGTACATTGGACAATTTTTTATCAATGATTATCTTAAATAAATGAAAGTAAATTTGGATGGATGTTTTTGTATACCATACAATGATAGAAGAGCAATAGTTTGTATCGCTTAACTCAATTTGTTTACATTTGTTACATTGGTCTATTTGAAAAGTGACGCATTTAATGCAGATGTAAACACCGCACCTCGGTGGCGGATTTAATATAGAATCGGATGGCAACAAAATATTAAGGTGAAGCATCAAGAGCAAATTTTCATTACGTCGAATGTAACAAAGGTAAACAAAGTCGAGCTATCAGTGTCAATCGATTCTCCTGCTATTGATCAGTTCACGAAGATTTGCCGCACTCTTCTCTCACCCGTAAGTTTTGACAGTTTTGGGTGGTTTGTTTTGGCTCCCATTCGTTGCTATCTCTTTTACTCAGAAGCAAAATGATAGGGAGCAAAAAGTGAGGTTAGGGACCGTGCACTGATCTATTACACTATATACACGGTGTTTCGAAAAACCCCATTAATGGGTATAAAAATACCCATTTCCGCTAAAAGTGCCCCTCCTCATTTAATGGGTAAACTATGGTTTACTCATAAATGGGTGGTCTGTCAATAAATGGGTGTTTTTTCACCCATTTTCTTATATTGTGTTTACCGTAAAATGGGTGAAAAAATACCCATTTTTACAAATGGAGGATGCAAGCGCTCGTTGATGTAAAAATGTTTTAAAACATTGAAAATAAATGCAGGTGTTCCGCTCAAATTTTTCACGAAACATTATAATACAAATTATCCATTGTATTGACTTATCCGTAAGCCTCTCCAACGTTTTGGATTCTAATATTTTCCGGAGATCGTTGCTGCGGACAGTAACTGTTTGCATCGTGATTGCATTCCCAATGACGGAAATGAGACGATAAAATTTCGAAGTGTTTTTTCACCCATTAATGGGTAAAAAATATAGCCATTATTCAACCGTGAACTGATTCTTTAAATGGGTATTTTTTCACCCATTTTATGATTTCAAAATTCCCCCATTTTTTGACAGCTGCATACATGGTTTGAAAATGGGTATTTTTTTACCCATTAATGGGTTTTCACGAAACACTGTCCGAATATAGGATCAAATCCCATTTTTAAATTTATTTACCAGTCAAATTGCTTTTTGACGTAATCACCTTCCGATCAAAATAGTTTTCGATGTTACTTAAGGCATCCGATTTTTATGGAGAAGCCGTTTGACTAAAGTAACAGCGCTGAGAAACCCGTGAAAAGTGTACGTTCGTCGTTTCGCTTTCTCATTATTAAAGTGAATAAATCGAACTGTTTGTTGCTATAGATGATTATAAGATGATTTCGGTGGTCCTAAAATGATGAATGGGCTGCACGTAAGGAGACGTAATTGATAATTCTCCCGAATATCCTGGTAAATACACTTTGACTTAAGTAACAATAGGGGCCACCAAACGACGTATAATAACTTTTGACTCAAAAAACAGTATTTTTTAGCATGAAAGCTAACGATTTGCATTTGTATGATTAAAACCCTGCTAAATATGTTAAACATTGCTATCACTATGCGATTATATGTGTTTACTTGGAAATAGGAATAACTTTTCGGTCATCAAAACAAAACTTTATTTTTCTCGGATTGGTGCGAATTTTACTTACGGCATAATGAAAATTTGATCTTGATATATTAGTACTCGTCGATAGTTTACAATTTATACCCCGTTCACATTACAGCGTATATCACGTGATATTCGCTGTCTTGCAATGAGCTCTCATACATCTAGTTTTCACTGGAAATCCAATGTATGAGTGCTAATTGCAAGGCATATACACAGCAAAAAAAGTTGTTGAATATTACATCGAAACTGCTGCAACCAGGTCAATCCATCGGTTGTGTAATATCACATTGTACGATGTACATCGATTTTGTGAACAAAATTACATCCATTGATGTAATATTGTATCTGCTTTTCTGCTATTACATCATTATTTCATACGTCAGCTTGAATTACGTTGATCGATATTACATTTTTTTTTGCTGTGTATATTACGTGATATAGGCTGTAATGTGAACGGGGTATTACACCCCGTTCACATTACAGCGTATATCACGTGATATACGCTGTCTTGCAATGAGCACTCATACATCTAGTTTTCACTGGAAATCCTTTGTATGAATGCTCATTGCAAGACAGCCTATATTACGTGATATAGACTGTAATGTGAACGGGATATAAAGCATTCTTCATTGAACATCTTGCCAATTTCCATCAGTAATTGTCTTATTTTACGATTTTCCACACATCTGAACTGATTTGCACCTAAATTATTCACACACAAGCAATCCCGGATGATCATAACCACTAAGGCGCTAAGGAACTATTGGAATTTTGCATTTTTCTCAACAAAAATATTCCTGAACACTAGCAAAATTCTTGCAAAAATGACACAGAATTAAATTTTTCAACTATTGATCAAGTTTTCGAGCATCTCAGATGAATCAATTCAGGCATAACATTTGATAACGGCACAAAAGCATTTGCAAACAAACTTTCTAAGACCCTTTACACGCGAACCAAAGTACGCCCACGCAAACCAATACGACTTTCGGAAAGGTGATAGTTTCCCCTATCCGATGATGTTGTTGGTTTGCTTCACTGTTGTTGGTTCACTTCACTGTTAACTCTTAACTCTTTTGAGGGGTCTCCAATTAACCACCAGATGCTGAAATGATCGCTTATAGTACGTTCAGACTACAGAGTTATAACATGTTATAGCTGTGAACCATTTGCCGAGTTAAATTTAACTCGTGGTTAAAAGTGACATTTCGAAAGTTATTCTTGATGTTCAAAAATCCCTGTGCTGTCGATCGACCGGTTTTCGAGAAGAACTCAGCCACGGTTGTCAACATTTAACTTCTTGTCTGTCAGAAATATCCACGCTCGGATAGCAGGGTTAATCAATAACTTTCCCTCTGTCAAATTTTAACCAAAAGTTAAAATAATCCACCAAATGGTTCAGAGCCTAAGCAATGTCAAAATTAAAATAAATCTCAAAATTTCGTTTTCTATGTTTTTTTATTTTTTCAAAGGGGGGATGTTTCTCAGAGTCTTAGACTATGTTAATCATCGATCGAGTTTCCACTTGCTGCAATTACGGCCTCCACACACTTTCGGAATGCACGGCAGGTTCTAATAATGTAGTCTGGATCCATTTCTCTCCAGGTACGGGTCAATGTTTGTCTGAGGCTTGCTGTACTCGGGAGGCATTTAGAACAGCCATTGGCCTTCATGACGCGCCATATTGAGTAATCCAGCGGATTAAGATCGGGGCTGGATGGCGGCCACATATCCTTCGCCCAGAACCAGCCCGGTGGCAGGCTCGTAGGCAACATTGTATACGGTGACAGCGGGCCCAGGACAGCAAAACAAACGATTTGGGCCCCGGACATGCTGCCTACTGTCAAACATAGCTGTTAGTATAGGCCTTGTCACCGGCCTGCCCAGAACGGAAGATGTTCCTGCAACCACTTCTGAGTGCGGTACGAGGTGTGGCACGAAGCCCCATCTTGTTGAAATACATCATTTGGCTTCGGGCCGTACTGATCTTTGATCCACGGAAGAACATACCGTCCCGATGTAGACCTCCGTGTTGACCTTGTCGCTTTTTGGAATGAACACCGGGTCCATTTTTTTTGCCATCGGAAGCCACCAATCCAAACACCATAACGCTAATAGGATGCTTGGTCAGATACACGTTCTTATGCTCGTCGGCCACGTCTTTTACGACGGTAAACATGCTCTTGTCGGTGAACAGGATCACCGGATTTTTTTTCGCTTAAGGAAGTTCAAGATTTTCTTGCATCGTTCGACTCGTAGCTCCCGGATGCGGTTGGTAATCATGTGATTTTTTTTTTCCGTGCCCTCGACTTCGCCCCGCAATCTTCCTTTACGATCTTCCGTGCCGTAAAGTCACTGATCCCGTGTTCCTTTGCCATTTTCCTTATTGAATGCACTGGATTCACCAGATCCCGAATCTTCCTTTTGATAGCAGCGATAACCCTCGGAACCCGAGCTGACCTCGGGCGACCTGTGGCCATCTTCGCGGATAGTTGTCCTTTCTTTTCTCGGTCTAAGACCCTTTTGACGGTCCACCGGGACACTCCTACGGCGATTGAAATGTCTTTTTGCGACATTTGCGCGTGGGACAAATCACGAATACGCTGCCACTTCGTCATAGTGCAACTGTCAAACTAATAGCGAATTTGTTTATTATCCAGGTTGGAACCAGTTTCAACCTGCGCGAGCCCGAGCTTATTGTCAGTGCGAACCTCAACCCGAGCCAAGTTACAAAAACAAACGTTCACACTAACGTTTGACAGACAACCAGCAGACCCAATCTTGATACCCGATCCAGGTTGGAACTTAATCAAAAACAAATTCGCTATAAGTAAATCATTTTCTTTTATACACAGCCTACTACGGTATGAGCTATAGGTTACGTGCATGCAAAGAAAACCAAGGCATTGTATGCACAGGTGAAACGGGAACCTTATTTGTACGATGGTGCAAACATTATCACGCATACGGTACAGTAGCGCCAAAAGCATGCTGGGTGGGTTCAAAACTTGACTGATAAAAAAACTCAGTCGAACAATCCAACTGACAAAGCTAGATGTCTCTCTCTGAAAGTTGACTTGTTCTTTAAAACATAATATGTTGTTTGTCTGATAAAAGCTATTTAACAGAAAATATTCGAAAAACATTTCACTTCCTTAGAGTTGACTTCTTTTTATATCTGACCAGATAAATTTTATCCAACAGAAATACTCAATAGTTATTTCTCTCTATTGAAGTTGAATTTGTTTTCAGTCGATCTTGTTTTCCGTAATGAGTACCAATACTACCGACGCCAAGGAGGCAGCTCTCAAACCTGGACCCTACATATCGGCCCTTCAACTCATAGACCGAGGACCAACGGGATGAATCGATTATTTCACCCAGTAAGGTTCAAGACACAGTCAATCAATTGGGATTCTTCTTGTTTTTGAAATCTTCTTCAATCATCATCATTAATATACACATACATTCACACACAAGCCATCCGAAAATTTAAAGCAAGTATTTCATGATTTTACATCGTATATTTTCTGGGTAAAACACTATCACTGCATTTACTTACTTGTGTTCTTCGTAGCATTCCACAATTTCACGTAATCGTATACACTAAATTTATTAAAACTGGAAGTCAAATCTCTTGGTGAACAAAACAAAACACCAAGAAAATCACTTCGTTTCCACTTCTTTGCTAGCGAACGTAGAAGAATCATTGAATCGAGCGTTGCCAGATGTATTACCTCTAGCATTGAATATAATTTTTTTTAAACATGCCAAAACGAAGTTTAACCCAATAACTTAGATGAGTGGATGTTTTTAATGGCGAATAAATATCAAAAACTGAATGAATAAAAATAAAAGGTCCTTTTTTGGAACTTAAACGTTCCAATTACAAAGGTAAACAAAGATTGAATTAAACACAAACAGGGGAGATGGCAGCATTGCATGTAGCATGTTATTTGCTTTCCCGCTCAGGGGTGTAAACGAAATGTCATACACCTTAGTTTGGCATTGTGAATGTTTTGTCTACGACATTCTTATACACGTGCATGTGTGACGTCACATTTGCTGTTGTATTGATAAGTAAAAGAATAAAAGAGACGGCAGATTTTGCTCACCATACCAGTTGATATATACGATTCATTGACTGTTTTGGCACGGCGACGCACGCTACCAACGAATTTTACCAATACTTTTAGAAAGTGATGATTTAGGATTACAAGAAGAAGAAGCAAAAGAAAATCGAGTGATGGTTAGTTGCCTCTTAAGAATTAAAGACGACCGAAACATATTACCTACATGCTGGCTGGTTTTGTAGCTCGGTTACAGGCAACGATGCCAGATTTACAGACTTGTGTACACGATAAAGGTGGACACTATCTTTTTTTTTAAATTACAATTTTTTCTAATCTCTTTAGATATGAAGCTACAATTAATGCAATAACTAGTTAATATATGTAACTAATATTAACTAGTTATTGCATTAATTGTAGCTTCACGAAATACTTCATTTGATATTTTTTGGATAAAATTAAAAAAAGGGTGACCACTTTTTCGTGTACAGAAGTCTGTATATATGGCATCGTTGGTTAGGGGTTGTTCATAAACTACGTAGACAGTTTTTTTGAAATTCTTGACCCCCCCCCCTCCCCCTGCGTAGACAATTTTCCATACAAATGTTTTTAAATTTGTATGGGCCGTGGATAATTGTCAACCCCCCCCTCCCCCTAAACTGTCTACGTAGTTTATGAACAGCCCCTTACAGGTTAGGGGCCGTCCAGATGCAGATACCACGTGGATAGAAGGATTGTGCTACAATACCCCGAATGTCAGCTCTCCGAGCACCATCATCATGAATGTGCAAAAAAGAGCGGCAAACAAAAGGAGGCAGAATCTCATTCGGGATGATGAAGTGTGAGGAAGTGATATTCGGGGTAATGTAGCACAACCGTACACGGAAGGGGATGGTGGAGGTGTTTGGTTCTAAAATATCATAAAAACACGTAGTACGTTGTCAGCTCCTCGATGCAGATCTGACTATAGCTACGACTCAGGGATATTTCGGACTAAAATTCAACATACAACCAAACTATATTGAGCGAGCCTTATATTTGTGGCATAGGTATGTCCTAAACTATATTATTCATTCCAACTCTGGCTTATAATTGAAGTTAGCTGTTACAACACACGTTATAGTATTACCCATTCTCACAGATGATTATTTTCTCGATACCGTAAAACCTGTTATAACATCAGATTCATTCATTAACGGAGTCGTTACATTGTAAACTCTTGTTCATTTTTGTTTGTAAAGATATGCCTAGAGGTTAGGAATAGTAGTAATGAAGAAAAAAACTAATTAAACCGCACATTTTTATTTCCTAACGTGAAATATAAACATCAAATTAATACGATCAGAGATTCAGTAGAATACTTTCGGAAAAGTATTAGGATGTTTTTTCTTTATTTTTTTAACAAACACTGTAAGTACATAATCATCATTGGGCAGTAGCTTTTAGCGAGAGAAAAAAGCTCATTAAAATACTGATTAAAACAAAAACAAAATAATGCTAACTAATGATTGCAAAAATTATGAATAAATGATGCGTGATAAAAAACAATATACATATACTTTTGCAATCTCTCTTACACCTACATCACAACCAATCGATTTTGGGCCTGTTATTCGTTTAATTAGATAAGATCCTACTCGTACTGACTGTAGACGGGAGGGGAGCCGTTAGGAAAATTAGTGCATAAAACAAATTATAGAGTGCGTGAGTGTAAAGTAAAATACTGAACGGACTGTCTTTTCTGGTTGGTTGGTGGAAGATTTGATTCTGTTCAATTTGTTCCTATATAGAGAGTTTCTAAACATCGTGAGGCTTTTGTTCATATCTGACTCTTTTACTGTCGGGTTGAAGGCAAGTTTTGTCTCCTTTTAGAGATGCTTCCGACGCGTCACGTCGCAGCAGAGTGGGCAGGAGACAATCGACCGATTAAAGCTATCTGATTGCAATCATATTATTGTTGTAACGCCCGATGGAAGTCGATTGAAACCCTGTTTGCTAAAAAAAACTGTATTCGAACATTATATAATGTCTTTTCAGTCTCCTACACAGCTAATAAGTCTATCTAATTGGCGCACGGATTTTTCTGTTTTTTATTTTATTTGGAGATTCGAGGCTTTCTGCTACGCAGAAGGCATCTTCAAATGTGGAGGAAGATTCAACTACCTCCTACTATTAACCCTGCTTAGTATACCTAGGTAGTTATGATTTAGACTTCGGTAGAGTCTACTGTTACGTATCGACGTGGACGAGGTTGGTGAGTTGAACGAGTGGGAAGAAAGGTTGGACGTTTTCCCACCGTACGTTGACGACGAGGACGGTGCCACCGTCGTTGCGGTTGCCGATGTGGACATCGGTCTCCTCTTATCTATAGCAGGTTCTCCTCCGGTTGGACCAGCCCCACCGGAGACGGAAGTCGACGCTGAATGAATGTTTCGCATGCTGTAGTTGAAGTACATTCGATCCAGCATCGCTTCCGTACTCTGGCGTCATCTGTTCTCGGCGCTCAATCGCCGGATGGTGGACGAGACACGCCACACGCGCACCTTACCGTCACTGTTGGGGCACAATGGAAATATGCGTAGGCAGCAGCAATAATTTGAATTCGAATACGGTCGCAACAGAATACAGAAACAGTGCAGGTAGGAGTGATAATGCGTTGAAAAAAGAAAAAAAGAAAAGAAAAGCAACATATTAAAACTTTGGCCAGGACAAGATGGCTTTGAACGAAAAGGTTCGATGATTTTAATGTCACTAAGCTGCAAATTTACGCACGACTAGTGTTGTGATAAAGCTAATGTGGGTGAGAAATCAGTATTAAGATGACGGAAGTGTAAACGCAGAGGAAAATAATGGCATAATTAAAAAAGATAAAGATGTTTTATAGAAACTGATTGAAACAACACTGGGTTAAAACATGTCCGTACAACTAAACCAGTTTTCAAAAGTCGTTATTTTTGCCAATAACAGACAAATTTCTTTGAAACAAATTAACTGTACGGACGATAGTTTTACAATATTGAATGTGAGAAGTGCAGATAGACATGTTTCAGAAAAAAACGAAGATTTTGAAATGTGTGGCAATGTAGAAACGGTCCTGGTATAGGCACACGAAGAGTTTGCTTTTTACAATTGGAATAAGATGATGATCAATGAGTAACCAGGATACCATAAGATGTTCAGAACATGAAGATGACAACAAACTATCACACATGAAACTTACATCTTCGAACAAGAAAAAAGATATTCCTACCATTACACATTGTATAAGTCAACAGCAGCACGATGTGCTGGCACCATGACTGCCCCTGCTACAATTGGCGTGGCTTAACGGACAGAAAAAGAACACTACAAATTCTAATAACCAAACTACGAACATCATCCATATGGTAAGCTTAGCCCATAACCTTGTAGAAAACAAAACAAAAATAGAAAATAAGTAGGGAAATTCAACAAACAAAGCGAACAACAACAAAATCTCATAATGAAAACAAGCTACTGCCAATGGATGATATGAGAGAAAGAAAAAAAAAACCTACTGCCATCAATTGTGGATCTCTATGTCGCATCTGTTCTAATAACTTCCTCCGTTTGGTTTGCTCGTCGAGAATGGCTCAAACGACGTGGATTTTAATCACGATCGATGAACCCTGCTTTCCCTGCTATGTTTAATTTTAATCTACCCTGTACGCAATTTTCAATAGGCAAAGGTGTTCAGATTCAGTCCTTACATCGAAATGGTCCTGTTCAGTTCAGTTCAGTTCAATTCGGTTCAGTTCATCTAGGCTCTGCGAAGGTGTGGATTTGGAACTACAGTAATGATCCGATTATGTCAGCAAAATCGGGTCATTACTGCATTAAGGTTTAGGGTGTTTAGCGCTTACAAAAAAAATCTAATAATAAAAGTATTTTTTTTCCTTGATTTGTTTTCCGTCGATCTTGTTTTCCGTGCTGAGCAACAATGCTACCGCCAGGGAGGCAGCTCCTACACGTGGACCCTACCTATCGATCCATCAACTCATGAACCGGGGACCAACGCGGCTTTACTTCCCTTCCGAAGGAAGGCTTGATCAGAGATGTATGTTATGCCTCAGAACATCCCGGTGGCGCCGACTGGGATTGAACCCAGGTCTGCTGGAGTGAGAGGTAATCACGCTTACCACTACACCTCTGGCGCCGCTATTGATAAAAGTAGCTTTAGAAAGGTTCTACTTCAATTACTGGATTGTTACGAGAATTCGGGCGAATCAAAACCGCGTAGGTCGATCGAAATTTGACTCAGGTCCAGACGAAAGCAAGCAATAGCCATAGCCCATAGCAATAGCAAAGCAAACCTATCATATAGAATTGTGTACTCGACCGAACGTGTACGGCAAACACAGTAAAGGAGCCTTCTGAAGGGTGGCCGTAGAGGTGGGCAAAACAGCTCATCTGGCTGAGCGGATCAGACCCGTCCAGCTCACTAAGGGGAGCCGATTATTTTGATCAACTCATCAGCTCACATTGACCTTATAGAAATTTTGACACAAATTCAAATTTGGATAAGAAATAAGTTGTTTTGGTGAACCTAAACCAATAGAGCTATACTGCTGCTATAATATCGTAAAAGTAGTCTAAACCAATATATCCGTAGCTTACAACATGGCTCAAATTTTCTATTGAAAACGCCACTTACGCAACAACCACCGCGTAAAGCAAAATGCGCGCAAAATGTGCCAACAACATATCAGTAAAAGCAAAAACATTATATGCGAGAGAGCTACCCTAATAAAAATTGTATGGTTAATTTGCTTAACGACGTGTTCTGGGTATCATCCAAACCATTTGTGGAATAGTTCAATGATTTGGGTTATCGTTCGTTTATGGTTATTTTTTATTAGGGTACACCTATAGCACATGCGATGATATATACGATTGACATCGCTTTTTCACATGCTACGCAATCCAGTCTACATACAGATGTGATTGCGGATGTTAATTTTCCAGCAGAATTACTCTCACTGTTCTTGGCTTCAGCTCCAGGGGGCTTATTACGGATGTCACTTCACGGTGAAAACTTGTCACTTGTCGTCACGGTGAAGTGATTCCCATTTGATTTGTACGGCAATCACGGCTCTTATTATGAGTATCACTTCCTTATCACCGTGTAGATCATCAGCTCAGATCCGAATCAGGAGCTGAATCGTGAAGAATCAAGAGAAATACAGATTCGATTAGCTGGACGGATCCGAGAGCTGTCATCCTAAACAGCTCCCAGTGATTCATTCCGGTCGATGATTCGGATCCGGAGCTGAGTTGTGAGGTTTAATATCAAGCCGATTTGTCGAGAAAAACCATTAAAACTATGTAAACATATGCAAAACTAAATGAACATTGTTTCGATTATTAGAAGTTATTAGATTGGAATTAGAAAGCTTCACGGTATTTGCGTTTGTGCGGATCTTCCGCGCCTCATGAGAATGATGGGAGGAGAGTTGCGAGGACATATGGTGGAGGAATAACATCAGCATTAAGAGCCGGGTAAGTAAATGCATTGAAAAATATTGCTGATTGCATCTGAAACTGGACTGTCCCAAAAATGCAAAAAGTGTGATAAAAGTGCACGTTTCCGTCAAATCGTTTTGATGTCTTCGGAGCACTTATTGCTTGCATTGTAAGGAATAAGTGCACCGAAGACACCAAGACGATTAGACGTAAACTTGCAGTTTTATCACACTTTTTAATAAGTGAAAACGCGCTTATTAGTCCATTTTGGTGTGAAATGCGCAATACCAGTAGAAATTAAACATCGTGTAACACAAGTACATATGTCTCTCTCTCCCATACAGCCACTTGGAAGTTTGCGTTTACCGTTGATGCCATCGATCAGTTGGTTTACGCAGTGACTGTTCAATGCGTAAGTGTAGTAATGATTCCTTTTTTGAAAAGCTCCGCTAGAAGTGACGGATTGAATGGTTTAGACTTGTGACATCAGCGAGCTGATGAGCTGCGGTTCCTAAAAAATGAACCGCGGGTCATCAGCTCACTTTAGTGAATCGGATCTTTAGAACAGCTCGGGAGCGGATCGCCCATCTCTAAGTGGCCAGTGAATTTTCATTTTGAAATTCCCGGATTTCCCGGATCATGTCTTAAAAATTTCCCGGTTTTTAATATTCAACAAAAAACGAAATTGAAAACATTTTTTAAAACGTGACTAACTGGCAATTTTTGGAAGCTATTTGTGGAAAAAAGCAAAACTACATGAAGAATTTTTTTAAAGCTGAATGTATAATTCAACTCTATGAGTAAATTAATTTAGTCAATATGTTTTCAAAATCCAATAATTTATTGTGTAACAGAGTTACGGATTAGGGTGACTAGGCCAAATACTATCTGGTTGAATGGGTCATAAAGAATGAGAGATTGAATAAAACAAATATTTTAGAAAAATGAAGTTAATAAAAATAAGATTTAGAGAAAATTGTGTAGAGTCTTGACATTTTTGAGTCTTGAGAATTTGTGACTAATAACAATCTTCGTGATCCTAGATCTAGAAAAAAAATAACTAATTCGAGAATTTTTTAAAAATTTCTAAGATCACAAATTTAAAAAAAAAAATCATAATTATGGGTCCTGGAGCCATAATAGTCAACACTTTGAGACTTGGAAGAATTGTAAGGGTTATAATAAATTATAGATCAATTTAAAGAACCTGAGGACAAACCCTGTAATTTTAAAGAAATTGGGGTTTTGATCTAATTTCCGTCCTACTAAGCACAACCCGCGCTTTACCTCCTTTTTTTAACGGGTTTGAACAAAAAATTGAAAATTTCTCTAACAGATAACACCTAAATTGATTCACCTTTCCATACGTACGGTTGGATTTGATAAAGAGTCACAAATGGTTGAGATATTGTTTAAAATCTAATACTGCTTCTTGATTCTAAATTCGTTCTACGAGTTTCAATTCCGTCTTAACGCATTGAAACGCCATTAGATTTTCTTTGTACTACGGATAAACGTATAAAAGGAGATTAGCTAGGAGCGCTTCTTTTGTTTTGAAAACAATAAGCGTAAATATTCATACAATGCGCTCTAATAGGATTTATGTTGTAGTAATGAACTAACGCGTCGGAACAAACCTATTATTGATTTGTGCACGGTGAAATCATTGATATTATTGATCGTTTCTGATCGATAGAACGGAAATGGGCGATTACGACGAAGTAGCGCTCTACCCTACCGAGGAAGATTCCTACCTTATGTTGGAAGCAGAAGTTCTAAGCAGAATTCCAAAAAAATTCTGAGATGAAGTCCTAAGAAATTGTTGGATGAATTTGGAGGGATTTGTGTGGAGAAGAAAGGAGGTTCTAACTTAAATTCTTAGGTCATTTCTGAAGGCTTCAAACGGAGTTTTGTAGAAAACTTCAAGTGGAATTCTTACGTCATTATGGGGAGAATTGTATGGGGATCGTGAGGAAACTGACAGATGAATTTTAAGGAGAATTCTAAGAGAATTATGATGAAAATTCAACCAGAAACAGAATTTTAATAGTGTTCTGGAAATTATTTTGAAGGAAGATTCATAAGAGAAGTCCAATGGAACTGATTTAAAAAAAATAACTGTAAATTCAAAAAAATGCTCCAAGGGGTCTCTGAAGAAAATTACGAAAGAGTTTTGACTAGAGTTGAAAGACAATTTCAAAGTAATCAAATTCTCAGAATAGGTTCCACGGATTACAATTAAATTCTTAAGAGGGGTCTTAAGGAAATTCCAAAGAGAATTCAAAGAGTATTACGAGGAGAGTTTTTTTGTTAGTTTAAAGAATAATTCCATGATAATTAAAAGCAGCTAGATAAGTTAATTCTGAAATTCATATAATTTTAATTGTGAATGAAATTGCATGGTTATTTTGCTTTTGAATTGAAAACAAAAATTAAAGCCCCGAAAATGTTTTGTTTAGTTTCGGTTTATTCAAGTACTTTTTCCGAAGTCTAGCTTCTTCAATATTTTCTTTTGAGGCCCATGCACGTTACATCTATATTCGGAATAGGACGACAAATCAATTTGAAATATTGCTGAGTGATTATCCATAAAAAAAAATAAGACGGGAAACTGATGGAAATTATGCAGCAAACAGAACAAGTCATTCTTTTGGTAAATACTCGTTATGTATTATTGGTTTATTCATAAATTCTGGTGTAAACATTTGTTCGTAAACTTCAAATTCTCTCTTGGAAATGTCTGAACTTTAAAATTCTCTGTAGGACACTTAAATCTTAAAATTCATCCTCCGATTCCCTTCGAATTTCAAACTCTTTCTAAGAATTCACTGGATCTTTTGTTTTTTGTTTAAATTTGCTTGAGATTCTCTTGAGAGTTCCCATGCAATTCACTTCAGATTCTCGACCAACAATTGAAAAGGGCCTAATAGTTTTTATGAGCAAAACTTGTAATCCCCCTTCCCACCGAGAATTGTCTTCTAATTTTGCTCAGAAATATCCTGGAGTTCTCCTCTTATTTTTTCTCAATGCCTGCATGGAATTCTCATTAAAATTCTCTAGAAATTCCACTCGAAATGCGCTTGGAATTATCCTAGGAATTTCCTAATAGATCTTCGCAGAATTATTCTGGAATTGTACCCTCAACATTCGCTTCCCTTATTTTTCAAGAATCTTATCTCGTAGAGATTTTCCCTAGAAAATATTCTCTGAAATACATTGGTGTTATCTAAGAATTCATTCCAAAAAAATTAAAAAAAAAAATCTAAAATTTTTTCAATAGTTCTCCAAAGTGACTGCATCCTGAAAATCTAGTCCAGTCCAAGGGTCTTGAAATCTTATTGTTTTCGAAGAGAGGACGAGGTATATTTTTTCAGATTTGTCATCTTTCGGTTTTTCCCGGTGACTTCAAATTCCCGGTTTTTTCAATTCACTGGTAATTTTACATATGAAACACTTGTTTTTAATCCCATTGTTTTTTTTTGCTTTGAGCACATTATGAGACCCAGCTCCGCAAGAAAATTATTCCGAATAATACATTTCATCAAAAGCTAATTCGCGGGCGGATTCTTCCAGTGGGAAATCGTAAAAACAGCACTTTAACCTCCTAAAACTTAACCTAGAAGCTAGTTTCACGAGCTAACCAGGTTTCTAAAGACCTAGAATACTCAATAAAGCTACTCTATGCTTGTCTACGTATATTTGAATCATTATTCAATCATAAAAGTGCTACTTCAAGCAATATCCTAAATTCTCATTTAGTTAGTTCTCTGACCTAATCAAGCTGTTAACAACACAATAAGGAACAATAACTAGAAGTCTTCCAACAAAATCTGCTCTCAAAGCTTGGTTTAGACAAGGCAAGTCAATTGATCAACTCAGTTGAAACCATGCCATTCAACTGACTTGATCAACTCACTCGAATTGAAAAAAGTTAAACCAGGCTCAACTCCTTAACCAATTGAATTCAATTGAGTTGATCAATGACTTGCCTTGTCTAAGCCCAGCTTAACTCTTTATCATTCTTGCATGTACTCAAAGGCACTCCAATACGCTCAAGGGATTGGTTTTTGTTGGACACAGGTGAATCGAGCAGACGCACCAATCTACTCGAAGGGGAAATTTTATCAGACGCAATTAGGTGTTAGCAGCTTGAATTTTGCAATAACTAACAGAGTCTAGCGTCTACGGAAAGGGATTTTATCTCAGTTCAATTCAAGAATGTGACAACACCCAGTGGGAGCTGAATTTATAATAGACTCAAAATCAACGAAATACCCTTTTATTTGAGTAACGTCTACACAACTTACAAAAATGCAACATCAAGCAATGAACAACGACAAGTTCGCAGCTCTATTTTAAAATTTGAAATGAAAAACCATCCTCTACACCGAGTAATTAAGTGGTTTGAAACTAGCGAAGAAATATTTCCCTGAATTTGAATTATTAGATTCCATGTTTTTCCAGGTAGTCGACATCCTGATACATTATTTTTTTTTAAATACCAGTGTAAATTGTATCTTCTTATTCGTGCTCCGGAATGTTGCAACTATGAGAGTTAGATACAAACAAATTGGAACCGATTGCTCTTAAATCGGTTCAGACATCTCAGAGAAAAGTAGTAGCACAGTTCGATAGCAAAATTTATTTTTTTTGTTCATATCACCGGAGCCGGATAAAATTAAAGGAGGAGTCTGATACAAACAAAATAATGGCTACACTCAAATCGATTCAGCCATCTCCAAGATAAGTGAGTACGTTTCACAGTGTGATTCTGATATTTTCCCTCATGTGTTCAGTAAAATTCTATGAATAATAACAGGTGTTTGATATGAACAAAATGAAACAGGTTGCACTTAGCCTGTTCAGCCATCTCGGGGAAAGGTGAGTGTACATACTGTACACTTATACAAACATTTTATGATCTCGTTGAGCTGAGGCCTTAGATCTAAAACGTTTTTTTAAAGTAAAATTATAGCCTTTCGATACACGAACCAAAAAATACGTAAGGCTTACAATATTTGTTTTGTCTCGCCCTTTTCTAATTCTTAAACAAAATATTTTTTTTTAATTTAAAATTTATTCTGCTTCAATCACAGTAGCAATAAATTGTCAAACTGTTAATAATAAATTGTTTAATCAAACTGTTGTAATTTTTACGTCATGAACGAATTCCAATAAATTTACCAATTTTTGGTATCAGCATTATACCAAATTCGTTGGTGGTACGAGCTCCAAACTGATTTTAAGAAGAAAATCCACCAGCATCTGTCAATGTAAATTAGATACACTGACAAAATTCACCATGTTAGCGCTCCGCAGCGGTTTTTAATCGTTTAAGTTCCAGACTACTGGAAGTATATTTCAATTTGGAAAACATTCTTAATCGGATGAAATACCTTTGCTATGACGACACAAGATAAAAGAAAGTGTGCGCAAATCACTGTTTCCAGTTCCGTTCTTCAAACCCACACCTTATACGAGCCCGCTACAAGTCATTTCTCTTTCCTCCTCTTTACCGTACTTCATAAGAATTAAAATCACACAAATTCAACTGACTAGAACAAAAATGGTTAAACATCAAGGAAAAACAACCACACAAATTCTTAAAAGTCGTAAGTTACGTTTGCAAGCTCCTACTCAGACGCTAATCCCTCACAGGGTCGACATTTATTTCGTTATTTCGTATAGTTAATGATTCTTAAAAGTCTACCTCCGCTACAAGAAGAAAGCCACATTGTTAGCTGAAGCTGGCATTTAACTTTGTTAAGATGGTAACAGTTTTGGTGTTTTCAATAGCTTTTGCTCTTCGTTTCATTCCGCCTGATTTAGTTTCATTAGTAAATATGCCTATGCTCATTTGTTAGTGTATTGTTTAGCGTTTTAGTTTGCTGCCACCCGTGTGAATACCAACACCACCACCACCACCAGAACCAGCTCCCAACGATTCCAGCTCATTACTAGCGAAACGCCAAATTCGTACTCCACCGGTACTAGAAGTTTACGTAAAGTGTAGGAAAAAGAAAAAGAAAAAAGACGAACGATAACAAAGGAAATTCCGTTGTCCATATTCGGTAAATGCAACTATAACAGGGGATGAGAATATTAAGCAACCGAAATGGCCAACGAGAATCCGAATGTTTTCTAGTGATCGTGAGTAAACCAGAACCGGCAGTGGAACTAATGCTCCTAGAAACGGTGTGCTAAAGGGTTATAAGCAATCGTATACTCACTTGGATGCCGTGAAGACCCGGTTGTCACTGGTGACGATGTCGTTAATTGACTGGTCAGTCTTCATCTCGGCTAGACTATCACAATTTTTAACATTCCATAGGCGAATAACGCCACCACGACAGCTAGACAGCAGAATGTCCCCATAGATGGCCATTCCGGAGACCCAGCCTTTGTGGGCATTGTTGAGCGACTGTTTGAGTTCTCCGTTGCGCAGGTCCCACCTTTTGATGCCGGAGTCTCTACTCCCGGAAAACAGCTCGGCGTCGACTCCGGTAGCATCTTTTGCCACCGCAAGGGCCTGCACTCCATCGTAGTGTGGTGGTTCCAGATTGAGCAACGGCGGGACATTTCCACCGAGCGCATTGACCTCAAACACCTTGACGTAGTGATCCTTGGAGCCCGTTGCCACGAGATCAGTATTGTTGGGACCCTCCCAGGCGGTAAGACACATGACAGCCGCCTGATGACCACCGGAGAGCCTCCCGAGGCAAGAAAATGTCCGTAGATCCCAGATGCGGACCTTATCCGATGCAGCGGTGTACAGCTTGCCCGAAGCTCCGAGTTTCAACGCAGTAATTGAACACTCGCCCGGGATTAGGTCCGATAGTGATGCATTTGCCGGAAGAACCGATCCCGAGGAACTGGAAAATTGGACACACGTTGTCATTTAACATGTTTAGAATATCAGTAAAAGCAGTCACTTACCATAAGGTTATAATTGGCCTGATGTTGCTATCCCTGAGGTCCCAAACTTTTACGAATGCTCCCGACGCGGAGAAAAGTAAATTGTTGGTCGGATCACACTCGACAGCTGCAACCGGTCCCAAATGGCCTGTTAAGCAGTGAGGCGTCTGGCCACTGCGAAGATCCCACACTTTAACAGTGCGATCTACGGATGGATGGAAACAGGTTGTGTTTTAGTTTATTAGCGCACTCGTTGTAGAATAGTTGGCAAACAACTTTTATATGACTTGGTTCAGTCGCACAATAAAGATGCTATCACTTTCTGCGGTAGAAGTGAGCTACTTTGGATATATGGGTGATCGCGCACGGGCAGGACCTTTTCCTACGTTGTACAGTTGCACAAACAATGGGTGATGGAGGCTCTGGTACTATATAGCTAGGGGTAGACGGGACAAGACGGCCTCCCTAAGATTGACAGTACAAGGTGTCTACTCATTTAGCTAAATACAATTCCCTGAGTTTTCCAGGTTTTGCCAGGACTTCAACGGAAATTTTCCAGTTTATGCGAAACTTTTTTTTTAAATACCTACGTTAATAAATATGCAATTTTGGTTTAAACGTTTAATAAAGTGTCACGAACGTGTTTACTTAACTTAAGTGCCATAAACAGAATTATAATCAAAACTGTTAAAAGTAGATTTTTTTTTATATTCAAAGACACGTTCTTTAAAGTATATTCTTGGCAGAATTAGGAAATTGTGTCATGCATGTAAGAATCAGGGCTCTACATTTTCGAAGCTCCAAAATGAACTCGAGTTCTGCATCTTTCATGCAACGTTTGATGATTAACGCATCATTTCTATAACGCTTACCTAGACTAAAGGCCCACGCACATTAGATCCGGATCGGACGCGTTGCGGCAAAGTGACAGCTAAATGTATTGTCTAACTGTCAAATTTACGCCAACGTAACGCAAACGGATCTAATGTGGGTGGTCCTTAACAGCACGAAACGAAAATGAAAAGGAAACACGCTTAGGCCGTTCGCAACGCTGAGTTTAAAAATTGTTTCAAATTACTCGACAGACAGTTCTAAAATTTGAAACCGTCAAAAATAAAACTTCAACACGATCAACGCAACGTACAGTTTTAAACGGTGTTTGCCATTCATCCCTACATCGAAAATATTTTTCATGCAGCTTCCATTAGAAACGTATTAGTTTTTTGAGTATAGATATGTATGCGTGTCTGTTTAAGTATAAAATATCTAAACTAAGTGAGTACCGAGCAAGCTCCGAACGCTGCGCAAAACAACAGAAGAAAACAGCTAATTAGCAGAGTGCCACCAAAATAAATGCGATAGTCTATGTTGGCAAGTTGATTAATTTTGGTTTCCTCCCTAAATATTCTAAGATTCTAAGATTTCGCGTCCGTATCGACTAAATTCCAAAAACTACTATTTGTTTATTTGTTTATCCACACACTAAGATTTTGTTTCCGTGTTCGGTAAATTTGACCGAAATCAGAACAGCTGAACGTTCGGTAAAACTTATTTGACCTTCATTTTAAAGGGTATTAAATTTGGAAATAATATCAAAACATGTTCAACCTTGTTTAAATGAAAAAAAAAAATCGATTAACGTACCCCATTCTAGTATATATTCCAGTACTACACTATGTTTGTTTTGCTTCACTATGAAAGTTTGACAGATAAAATGAGGGGTTCGTGGATTTTCCTATGTTTAGAGGGGTGCATCGATTAGCTTGGGACCGATGATAGTACCAGAGCTGATCCAAAAAGTTGAACTCGTTTCTTCGGCACCTTCTGGTCTTAGAGTTACCCCTATGATTGAATTGCATAAATTTTACCGAAAAGGTCAGCTGTTCAGATTTCGGTAAAAATTACCGAAGTCGGCGATAATTTCTAAGTGTGCAGCGCTCAGCATAGTCGTCTCGGCCCTGAGTGTAGATGTAGGTCGGGGGTCTTTCAACCAGCTATTACTGGCAAGTATACTGACGATTCAGCCTCTCCTTTGCCTGATACTGTTTGAACTTCTAGCTGTGTTTCCGGTTCTGCGGCCTCCGCACTAGCACCATCATGTCTATGCATCCGTTCTGCCAACTGCCAGCAGGTTTATGCCACCACCTGCTTTTCCTCGGATCCGGGACACCCTAAAACAGGCACTGAGGAATCTTCCGAACCTCCCGACCCAGCGCGCTTGCTGCAAACATCCGCCATCTTCATAGTCGCGGTCCTGTATGTATGATTGCAATTCCGAGATTTCGGTACCTGATGTTCTTTCGATTTCCAGCTCCCGTGATTGCTCTTCGAATGGTCTCCGGATCTATTACCAAAACGTGCGTGGGCAGAGGACTAAAATTGACTCGTTTTTCCTGGCTGTTAGAGAGGCCGAATATGATTTGATTATGCTGACGAAAACGTGGCTGGACATACGAATTTACTCATCGCAACTTTTCGGGTCACTTTATTCCGTCTTCAGAACTGACCGGTCTCCCCTAAACAGTCAAAAATCACGCTGTGGCGGAGTCCTGATTGCAGTATCAACGAGACTAGCCAGCTACGTACACAGATAAAAATTCTGAATTTTAATTGTGATGTAAACATTCATTCACGTTAACTTAAATTTAATTTCACACAACCGAGCAACTTGTAAACAATGTTGTTTACAAAGATGGGCTTTTGTATACAATATTTGCTACATTGCATAAATTGTGCTAGAACTTTACATGATATATAATGTAAACTTATATGATATATGACGCTCCATTTGTGTGCATCATATTGAACAGAAATTTACACTACTTTTCGAACTGTGTAAGTACGTCACCCATTTCCAGTCAACTGGAACAGCTATGGATTGTCGTAGAACTTCCACAAAGCAAGCTTAGTGTAGGCGCAATCTACCTGCCCCCCCTACCACAAAAACGACTGCACGATCATCCGTAAGCATGTGGAATCGTTAGGCTCGATTTCTTCTCAATTAAGTCCCTGCTCTCCCGCTTTCGTATTTGGCGACTACAATCAAGCTGGTTTGCAGTGGCGCTTTACAGACAGTGGCACACCGGTTGCTTGCTTTTTTGGACAGTTTTAACTTTTACGGGTTCACACAAGCGAATACTTTTCCGAACCGAAATGGAAGTTTGCTAGATCTTGTCCTGGCAAATGATTCGGCATTACCGGGCACTTCTGTTTCCTTGCCGGTCGAGCCACTGATCTACCTTCTCCGATTGTTTTTACGCAGTCATCTGAGTGCTACTCTTTGGACTTTCGCAAAAGCCTCCATGGTCTAACCCACACAGATAAAAATTCTGAATTTTAATTGTGATGTAAACATTCATTCACTTAAACTTGAATTTCATTTCACGTAATCGAGCAACTTGTAAACAATGTTGTTTACAAAGATAGGCTTTTGTATACAATATTTGCTACATTGCATGAAATGTGTCAGAACTTTACATGATATATAATGTAAACTTATATGATATGTGACGCTCCATTTATGTGCATCATATTGAACAGAAATTTACATTCCTTTTCGAACTGTGCACGCGTGCTAAAACGTCAACTTTCTGCTGCCCTCCGAAAGCATTGTAACTCTCGCTTGCCGTACTACAAACGACTGTTCAATTTTGCGAGTCGTAGTTATTGAAATTACAATCGTTTTCTCTATAATCGACACTTGAGCGAACCTTCACACGAATCCGAAAAGTTTTTGGTCGTTTGTCAACTCCAAACGGAAGGAATCCGGGTTGCCTTGTTCCATGTTTCTCGGGAATGACTCGGCTAATAGCGAAAGAGAAAAATGCGACTTGTTTGCTCGTCATTTCCAGCAAGTGTTCCTGTTGGGATGCCACGTGATGTGTTTAGTTTCGATATTCCGCGCATTTCAGAAGACATGGTGATAGCCGCAACACGCAAACTGAAGCTCTCGTTCGCTGCCGTTGTCCCATCAAAACGTTGTGTAGCCAATATCTGCCTTCCATTTGCGAGGCTATTCAATCTCTCGGCACATCAATGTGTTCCCCTGACTCTGGAAACTTTCTGTATCCAGTCTACAAAAAAGGAGATAAACGGAATGTCGCAAATTACCGTGGAATCACGTCCCTGTGTGCCTGCTCAAAACTGTTCGAGATTATCATAAATGATGCTCTGTTCGCGTGTTGCAACAATTATTTCCATACAGAACAACACGGCTTTTACCCGAAGCGCTCCGTGTCCACGAGCCTGGTGTAGTTTACTTCTAACTATTTGCGATGCATGGATTCAGGATGGCAAGTCGATGCTGCGTATATGGGTCTAAAAGCCGCATTTGACACGGTGGACCATAATATCTTGCTTGCCAAGCTGCCCATCTCGGCAAAAAATCTAAGTGTGTAGGACCGCTACTGTTTTCGATCTTTTTAAACGACGTCGCCTTTCTGATACCATCTGGATGCCGCGTTTTCTATGCAGTCGATACGAAAATCTACAAAATTATTAAAAGTCTCTCGGACTGTTGGGATCTCCAGAATATGTTAGGTATTTTTGTGGAGCTCAAGAAATTTTTAAGCATCGACAAATGTAACATTATTTCCTATCACCGAAAAATCGAAATCATGTTTGACTATGTACTCTACGGACGCTGTCTTGCTCGTGTAGAGCACATAAAGGATCTCGGCGTTACCTTGGACTGCAGACTCACTTTCAGAATCCACTACAATGACATCATCTCCAGAGCTAATCGACAATATGGGCTATATTTTCTAAATTGCCGACGAGTTCCGTGACCCGCTATGCCTCAGATCACTCTACTGCTCGGTTGTGCGATCCTTATTAGAGTCAACTTTAGTTGTTTGGTGCCCTTTCCATGCTAGCTGGATCACTAGAATTGGATCCGTTCAACGCAAGTTTGTGAGATATGCTCTTCGACAGACAGTATAGTACTTTACTAAGCGACTGATAATATCACTTTTTTTTTCAATTTGAATGTATATACTTACCAGCGGCAGCGGTGAAGAGTGTCTGGTTGGACACCTTGATCGAAAGAACGGAATTGCTATGCCCTTCAACAATGTGAGTGCAGATAAGTGGAGAACCAGCCTTCAACTGCAATTATAGAAATCATTCAAATTTCAATCGATCCACACTCGTTTGAAAACCAAGCAAATCTTACCTTTCCTGCATACTCTTTGATGTGACCACCCGGTGAAGGATCCTGCGTACCAGCGCCAAGACGTGAAAACACATCACCGGTGTCCTCCCGTGATGTTCCCCGGCGGTAAACCGGTGGCGAGGTGGGAATTTCATTGGCATCCTCCCTGGTGTCGTTGGTGTTCGGTTGTGGTAGGTAGGCAAGGGGCATCGCGTGCACGTCACCGCAAGGGAGGGGTTGGTTAGCGATTTATCAAGCGAGCATTCAGCAGCGTGCACATGTGGGTGGTTGTTTTGTTGGGTGTAAGTGTTTGGTCGTGACGGCAGTGGTGTTAGTTGCGGCGGGAGACACACCCATTCACACGCACGCACATATAAAAGTACACAAAGGATTAAGATGATGGATCCGGAATTAGTATTTTTTAAATAGGTACAATAAAACGCTACATATCCGGTTAAGTTGGACTTTTTTTTTTTAAATAAATATAAAATAGACAGCCATCGTGTGTTGGAAAAAGCTGTACTACAGGTTTAATATGTGCTCATGACCAAAGACAACATATCACGAAGACTGGTAACTCTGCCAGAATCGAAGAGACACATACAGTAGCGCTGAACTTGAGCAACGCGGAGCTACATGATAAAACAAGGAGGAATTGCGCAAATCACTATTTTGAGGTTGGCATCGTTGCTATCAAATTCGTAAAGTATGTTAAATTTTGAACGATAGATGGTGAGATTGATCTGATATGTTGTCTTCGATAAGACGGTGGTATATAAGTTCAGTATTCTTGTGGTTCGGTACTCTTCAGCAACATTCAAGTTAGTAAGCTTTGATAGCAGAAAAAACACACAGGTTTAATAATATTAAACACGAAACGAGTTGCTCAAGATGTCAAAAACATAAAGCCTTGAAAAATGAGAAAATGTTGTTATGCATTTAGAAATAATTTTCCATTTAAATTTTAGCTGTTCTTCTTTTTATCAAATGATACATGGTTTTACAATTCATTGTATAAGTTATTAGTAAAGTACGATAACTATTAATCGTATGTGAAAACATTATTATATGTATATGTACATTTCGTCACTTTTAAAATTATTATTGAAATGTATTTTTCACTTTGATTTGCGCTGACGGGTAGATGTTAAAGAGCACTACTACAAAAAAAGTTTAGTCTACGGAAGTCGACGACCAATAAAAACTGCTGAGCTTTTAAACTGATGTTCGCTTATCACACCACTGGAAAAATTCACACAAAGGGTAATTACGAACCTAGAAAATGCTTTGATTCTAAACTACTTAAACCTGCCTCTTTTCGAAATTCATTAACCAATTCGACTTCAAGCTACTCAGAAATCGAGCGCTTGCTGCTACAATCTAACAACCATACCCAGTGAGGGGTACCATACTTACATTCCCGGTGACGCTTTGCTGGGGACCGGCCGCCTGGAGATCCGAGGTGATGGCGGTGCTACATTCGGTTCGAACGACTTTCGGGCCAACAGGGGCGACGCGGTGCTATTTTGACGCGATATGTTTGGCACTGGTTGAAGTCCTCTGATTGGATTGTTGTTGTTATTATTGGCAATGATGGAAAAGGGTGGGTTTGATTAGTATAAAAATGCATGCGAAAATATGGAAAACATTGGATCAGTTTGTTGAAAGTATGTTCATAAATCTTTTATTTACTACATTTTCTAAACATTGGAAACAATTTCAGCAATAACAACCATTAGAGTTAACAAGTAATAATCTATACACGAACTAAAGAAATGCAGTTGAACCTAATCGCACGGAAAGTTTTCTGTAAAATATGAGAAACAGAAAAAAATAAAAGTTTTGAATCTGTAGACAAAAGTGAACCATTGATAGCAAACAAAAGTAATAAAAAAAAAACAAACACACACAAAGTGCACAAATTAGGTACAGAATTCGGTAGTAGATGATGATTTGTATGCGACAGATGACTACAGTGTACAATCACTGGTTATGATCGATGGAAATTTTACTTCAATAGCACTGGTTTCCACCCCTAAAATATATCAAGAAAGCAAATTTGAGATCATCATTGCTTTTCTGTGATGATCCAAAGCATTGTCATGTTTATGTCAACTTTCGAAGTTACTTGAACCATTCCTGGAATCCTACTCTCTTTTTCTAGAAATATGTTGTACCCATTTTTGCGTGTTTTGATTTAAACCCTTTTTTTAGAATGAACTGTGGAATTGACAGCAAAAGCGGCTATCGACAAACGCAGAGGAATGGAAAAACAAGGAACTTCAAAAAAGCTTGAAGGATTGCAAAGGGAAGCCCAAAAGTCTTCTAGAACAGTTCCAGGTGAATAATTATGCGAAGTTCCATGAAATTTTCAAAGGGAAAATTGAAATCGACTCGCCAGTTGGCGTGGAAAACCCCCAAGAAAGTTCTCCAGGATTCAGCGTGTGTGTAAAAGTCTTTTGAACTTCTCCATAGAGTCTTTTCCCTTATTTGCTGTCCTGTATTGTCAGATCCCTAACAATTAATGAAAGAGTTTTCATGAAAATTTAAATAGCAAGTTAAAAGAGTTCTAGCTTAAATTTACGTCCGGAGGATGTTCTCAGAACACAACAAAGAAGTGGAAGTTTAAAGGGCCACCGGAAATGTCTCCTGAAAGTTTTTTTTTTTGTTGTCAATTTCCGCGTTATTCGTGACATGTCCGAGGATGAGATTTGAGCTCGTGACTATTGGCGTGAGAAGTATGGATGTTAACCACTACACCGGGCCATCTCCTTGAAGTTTTCTGAACTTCCTTTTCTGCTCTTACTTAGAAAATTTCCACACCATTCATAAACATCCGCTAGAAGTCTCAAACAAACAAGTAAGTTGATGGCGTGTTGTTTAAACTTCTATTCTAGCTAGCCGTCTATTTTCTTACGGTTAATATCACACACGCTCATTCATTGCAGCCCGAGGTTATCAATCAGTGGCTTAAAAAAACGCAGTCATCAATCACGACGGAAAACACACGAAACACTAATACGACATTTACTCAGCAACGTTTGTCCTCGACCACCAGCATGGAGGATGGTAGCAACTGTTCACCGATGGCGGCCAAGCTTTTTTCCACCATACGTTTGAACTCGAGAAAAGGTTGAATCGGCAAAAGATGACATATGTGGTCGACAGTGTCCAGCAGGCGGAGCAGAATTTTTCTAGAAGATACACGGAGTAGGGTAGGATTTAGGGGATTTGTGAGAAGTTACCGCTTCCGAGAACGTATTTTTGCGAGCAACCAAGTGATTCGCTGAAAGCGTTCCATGCAGTGTTACGCGGATCGACAGCCCTAGTTTCGCAGAAATATTACAAATAGTGAAAGAGAAAAGAAAATCAATTACTCATGAACACACTTTCAACACGCTTCAAAACGGCTTGTACTTTTAGAGAAGGGGTTAGGCAGCTTTAAAGGTGGTTCTGGCAATACTTACTTCAAGGAACCCGGTGCGCTGGGAGCTCGTGATAGCGGAACGAAACTACGGCCTGCTACCGATGTGCTGCTGTTCGTCACAACCGGGATATGTGATGGCGCTTCGCTAGACGAGGCAGCGGTATAGGATCGGGTCATGCCCGTCATACCGCCACCGATGAAGCCCCCATTCTCATCCTGCGGAGAATGTATCATCGTGTCATCGTCATCTGCCGAATCCTCAAGATAAATACAAATACCCACTTTCTCAAGCTTGCTGTTGGCGGTCGGGGAACCGGATACGTCCGGTCCAACACCGGATCCGCCATACGGCAGTGAGTCCTGACCGGCAGTGGTCGTGAGCCTTCGTCTTAGCTTGGAGGAGTTTCTGTAGGTGACAATGCTATCGTTATCGCTGTTTTGTTTTTAATGAAACGAAAAGAAGGAACAGTAGAAATCCAACATTGTCGCGAGGGACAGAGTTTGGTGAGGAATATCGGGAATGGGGAATCATTTGGATGGACCGAGGAAAATTGGAAGAGAAGAAAAGTAAAACTTAACAAAGTAATAAATAGCCAAATTGATTTTGGTAGCAATTTTGATTAACACAATATTGTATGGGAGAGGATGATTTTGGTTAACATAACATGGAAACATCGGTTAGGAATCATTGGAGATGATGGCTTCGTAAAGGTAGTTCTTTCTACGGATTCTCTTACTGACTTGCATGTTTCTTCGGCTAAAGGACGGAAATGGTACTTGATTAGTTAGGTTGGGTTGGTTATTCGATGCAAGCTATACGGTACAAATGAGGATGTAAGTAGGTAGTCGACTTGAGCAAGTCAGGTGTGTGTAGGTAGAATGTTCTGCCACGTTGAGTCAGCACCTGAAAACATGAAACGTACATAAACTCAAAGCTACTCACAATTCCGTGCTGCTACTGGGCGATGGGCTTCTGGTGACAGAATTGATCACGTAAGGATGACTTTCAGTGGTCTCCGCGGTGTCTTCGTAAACAGCAGATGAGACTCCATTCGAAAGGACAGCTGCGTGTAGCATGGTGTTCACCACATTCGAGTGGTGGGACTGGCCAGAACTGAAGCTAGTATCCGACAATGTTGCTGCTGGAGTTCGTGCGAGAATATGCTGCAGCAGTTGCTGTTGGATGCTGCTGTCCTGTTGAACTTCGTTCAACAAAGCTTCGCGTTCCTTCAGTCGTGTTTGTGTTAGAGCTGCTTCACAAACTTGCACAACAGACGTTCCACACAACTTTTCCAGGATAAATTTAGCTTCTTCGACAGAACGTATATTCTCGAGGATAGTCTGCATCTGTTGATGCTCGGAGGCCGACTCTTTGCCCTCTTCTAGTTCCATAATGGAATGCTGAATCTGGGTAATGTTCTCCTGAATGTAGTTCATATTGGCCATTATGGTGTCTTCCTCAGAAATTAATTCTGCCGTATATGAATGAACCTTTTTGGAGCGGATATTGACCAGATCACGGCTCAGTCCATCCCGTTCCTGCAATAATCGTTCCAACTCTCGTTCCAGTTCCAGCACCGCCTGTCTGCTTCTCGCTGCTCTAGCAATAGTCCTTTGAAGCGAGTCCCACTTGGCTTTGAGATTCTTCGTATTCTGAGCGGCGACGGACTTTTTCACAGGGAACCTTCCTGCCGCCTTCATGCTCATCATACCACGCTGAGTCTTTCGCAAGTTTGAAACTTCTTCAGTTTTCCTCTTCAAAACTTGATCCTTCGCCGCTCCCTGAGCTTGGAGTGATTTGATCATGTTCACATGTTTCCTGCTTTCCTTCCTCAGTTGCGCTATTTCCCGAGTCCTTCTACTCTCCATTTCTTTGTGCCTGTTGTTTTCCTCGTGAATCTTCTTCATCAACCGTATCTTAATCTGCTTCAACTCGCTCAACTCTCCGCGCAGCGCCTTCAACTGAGCATCCTGCGCTTGTAGTTCTCTCTGTTGTCTCATGTGCTCTCTTTGTGCCACTTGCAGTTTCTTCAGTTCCTTTTGCATCTCTGATAGCTTTCGTTCGTACTCTTCCTTCACCTTTCTTATTCTATCATTTTGTGCGCTTCCAACTACAACTCCCGACCCACTCATATTAGCTAGCACTTGATCACGCTCCTTCTGCGTGTTGACAATTTTCGCATTCAACACATTCAGCTTGTCCTCATACTGCTGTCGCATAACGTGCATCCGCTGTTGCGACAATTCCAACTGCTCAATCAGTTTTGATTTTATCTCTATATCCGAACTTATGTCATTGATCTCCGCCTGTAACTCTCCTGCCTTATCATCCGATTCCGTATCCGAATCACTATCCGATCCATCCTCCAAACTTTGATTGCTGCTGTCGTTCTCCAATCCAGGCAGTGATCGAGACATCAACAGCTCCCTATCTTTCTCCAACTCACGCTTCGCCATGTTGATAACCGTTTCCGTCGAGTCTTCAATGAAGGAATAGTTACTCTTCAGCCCAAGCTTCGACGGACTGGCCTGCACTTTCTTCATCTGCTGGAACATCTGCTCAGATTCGATCAATTTCGCCTTCAGTTTCTCAATTTCACTAATGTAGCCAGCAACTAACTGTTGTATGGCATTCTCGCTGCCAGCACCATCCTCTCCCTGGTCGCCACTCCCCCCGGTACTGCCCGAGGACCAGCCAAATAGGGCCTGCTGTGCCTGAAGTGTGGCGTTCTTGTCCGTCAAGGTGTTGATGGTTTCCTGCATTGCTTTCAGTCGCTGCTGTAGGCGCTTGTTGTCCTGCAGCAGCATTGCATTTTCCAGGAAGGTGTCCGAGATGGCAGCATTACCCTCGGCGTCCACGCTGCGTTTGCCCTGTGTGAGAGAAATGATAAGCACGTTAGTGTTCCCGTTCTTATGTAACTACACGTTCACGTTCCACCATTAGAACGAACGAAGCCTAAAACTACGGACTTTGATCATGGAAAAGGTGAACACAACATCAAGTCAGTTTGTCCCATCATGCAAAGTAATCGCATAGCAGTCCCATCCTTAAATTAAATCGTCCAGAGGTGAAGTTACAGCTCTGCTTTTCGAGTTGCTATATTGTTCACTGATATAACTGATATAACATGCAAGTTTCAATGCAACTGATTTTAACTTGAAAAAAATATTAATAAATTTACTATGATTTTTCAAATATTTACATGGGGATCGGACTTCGTAACTTTGACTTCCATTTTCTCAATGCCTACTTTTTCCATATGGGACTGATATGGGATAATAGGCAGTAATCTCCATTGGTAAAACCCGTTGAATGCCATTGTCCAATGAATATGAGTATCGCTTTGAAAAGTCCAATGGGTTATCAAGACCTCTTATGTTTGCAAAGCCCCAAAATATACTGAGCAACTTAGTCAAGGAATATTTGCACGGTTACTCACTAGGCCTTATGCAATTGAGTTGAATCATTAAACCTAATTATAAATGTGGGATTTACAAAATTTTCATTATTCTGAGGCTTCGACATTTGTAAGGAGCATTACCCGAGCAAAGTCGGTTAACAAAATGAAAGCAAATCGATATTAAAGTGTGCAGTTCCTATCATAATGAAAACTCATTTTGATTTCAAATGTTGCGACATAAGTCTGATATCATATTGTGCTTTCATTATGCAGTCAAGACGTTTTAAATGAAAGCAACTTAACTTGAAGTTCTGCTGTTTACGTCTTGTTTAAAATTTAATTGAAATTCATCTGTCGTTGAACTAATGATTATCGTTTATCTGATTTGTTTAACACATTTAAGGTCATTCGTGACTAGCCCGCGTTGAGATTGGAGCCTAAGTCTTTCAGCTTGAGAAACATGAATGGTAACCATTTACTCTAGGCCCGTATTCAGTTAAACATTATGAATGCAAAATCAATAATCAAATTGATTTCATTGAAAGCAGGATTAGTTTTCCGTTTGCTTCAACAGTGTAAAATTTTGCTCTCATTTTTGCTGTGTTAACCAAAATGAGATCAACTGGAGTATTCAAAATAAGTTACATCATAACAGCAAATTTTGATTTCAATTTGATCTTCAGCTTTGCTCGGGTAGGCTATGCTTTTTATTTTCATAGATTTGTGATTTGGAAAAATCTTCAAGATCGTAGATTTATAAAAAAAAATCGATGTTTATGTGACTGGGAACTAGGCAAAAAGGTCACCCTAACGATAGTGCGTGGTTATATGCGATTCATATTTATAAGAGTTTGTGCACCGAATCGTAAGTTTATAACATTGTCTTCATGTATCAACATTGAAACTCATTGAAAATCATATAATTTTTTTTAAATGTCATGTCATACCTGCTCTAAAAAATGCTACGGGGTAGAGTGCCACTCTTATGGGGCATAAAGGCCATACGTATAAAATGAAGTGAAACAGATTAATGTTTTTTTTTTATAAACAACAACTTACTATTCTTAAGCATGCATGTAACAGCTTTTATTGTGTGTTCCATTAATATATTTACTTAACGGATATTTTTATAAAAAAACATATATTCCATGTGCCTCAAAGAATAAAAATTGAAACTAATTTCTATACTATTTTATACAGTTTGTTTCGCAAAATTTCAAGAAAACAATTTATATCGGAAACATAAATACCCAGTTGTGCTAATTTCTGTACATGTCATACATACATTTTGAACACTTTTATACATAAATGTAGGGGTGGCAAGAGTGCCCCATATAAAGTTTATTTTTAGGATTATAATTTTAGATAAATTAAAGAAAATATTTAATTATTTATTGTTATTAATAGTTCAATCAACCATCAATATTGACGTCCCAAGTAACATTTAACGTTTTATGAAGTACTACAAGGCTTCTATAAAACAACATTCATAAAACCCTGGTCAAGATAGATTTGCCTTTATTACATCCACCAAAACCTCGTTAAGACTAGAATCTGTCTAGTTGGCCCACCCTGAAGAAGGTTCTAAAGAGTGTATTAACGAGACATTTCAAGAATTACTTGCTGCAAAAAGGTTATATGACAAATGTATTGAGAACCATTTGAAATCCTTATTAAAAGTACAATAAAAGCCATTCGGCATCAGTACTTCTGCCATTTGCCTTTGATGCTTGCTAAACGCACTAAATAGGGATACATAAATATCGTCCGATCTTGCTCAAATTCATTGTTCAAAAATGAATTTGTCAAAAAAAAAACTCATAAATTTCCTAATCATTAAGTGAAAGAATTACTAAAATGATCGAAACTCATATTGTGGTTTATTTTTAGGTGACAGATTAAATCTAATGTGAAATGTGCTTAGGAAGATCGAAAAAAATAAGTCCGCCTTCGGAAAACGTTGATTTCACTAATTATTTTTAATTTAGAAAACAAAATATAGTTATTTGTTAAGTTAATCATTGCTCCCAGCCCAGACAATTTGATGCTTTTCGTGATATCTATTACTGCTCATTGATGAATTGATGAGAATAAAGTTATTTTAAAAGAAAAACATCTTGAAAAACGAAGATTGTAAAAAAGCAAATGGAATAATAACAATATGGCGATACCCTTTGTGAAAAAGCTGTTTTGCTTTCATGAAATCGCTAACAAATGCAAAACATTTTAATGCTGCTTTTATGAAGATAATTTGCACACTGAATTGTTTTTATCTGAATCCATTTTGCTTGATCCTATTCCGTTGAGTTTTATGACGGCATTAATGGTGGCAAAGTTGCCTGGAAAAAGTTAAACGTTAAAATTTGTTTATCTTTCGATAGTTTTGCTGTGTGATCATTGCAACGACGTTCTACTCCAGCGTTGGATCAACCAGTTGCGTTACATTCTTGGTAAGGGCGATTCATCTATTGGAAGCAGTTACTCAGGAAGTGAATCTACGTAACTTGGAACAGCTGGAAGCTCAATCGTCCCCGAAAAGTTTTCCTTCTTCTGGATGATGCGATGAAGTTTATGTGCGCTTGCTCGGAATTTTTGGAACAGTTAACCCTTTCGCCGAATGAAATCGTTGTTATGTCAGACAGCTTCTGAAGTTTACGGTCAGCAGTTTTCCGCAGTCCCAGTTTGGCACTGCTGCTATTCGGATCATCATCGCAACGTTATTTAAAGCAGCATAAAGTTGAACTACTAATCAAGAATGTTTTGCACTTTTAAATGCTGTATTTAAACTGAAAAGATTGCTTATAGCCGTTATAAAACCACAATAAATCAGAGTGAAAGCCAAAAGGCTGTTAAATTGTTATTTGGAGTCTCCATACCTTATTTTATGATACTTTATTCTTATACAAAAATAACTTTTAAATACTTCAACACAAAATCATTGATTGCATTTTTTTAAAGAACTTTCTAGAATGCTTCATAAGAATACCAAGCATAGATTGATGGTGAGATAGCATTAAAATTTCTTCATTTTCAAAATATATTGTGGGAGGCACTCATGCCCAGAGTGACCTTCTTGCCCCTAGTTCTCCTACATAAAATTATAATATTTATTGATTGAGTTTGGCCTTTCCGGAACAGATTTGGACCATGTTGTAGATATAAATATATCAATGAAATAACGATTTAATCAAAACAGTTCCTTCTATTGATCTTCAAAATAGTAATGCGTTGCCAAGATATATGAATCAGTACACATTTGGAGATTTCATTGAAATGTTGATGCCGAAATCTTTAAATAATTCCAAGAGTGCAACAACAACAGCATTGAGACTAAAGTTTCAAAAATTCAAGATTATAAGTTTAGAAAGTTTTCCTTGCTTTGACTGTACAAGTTTACAAAAGTTGTGAACGACAAGTAGTAGTGTTTAATTTTTCCATACATTGCAATCATGTATTAAGAATTAAGATTCTGGAAATTGAAATATACAGCACAGCCGCAGAATTTAGTTTTAAATTTTGGGCTAAAAGTTTGGTTTAAGAAATTTAAGATCTTTGATTTGAACTTTTAAAACCATTCAATTAGTCCTGTTATCAATTATGGACTGATGATTACGACCTTGAAAAATCTTTGGTACTATTGAATGATTCGGCGAAGAAATCGAGTACCACTGCTTCTACTTTCTTCACGAATAAGCAGATTCGTCACGTAACATCCAAACATTTTGCCTTTGATTAAATCGACGCTTACGTCAAGTACATGTCACCCCACCTAAATGCCTATTAAATTAATCATTCTCAAATTCCTGACACTTCATCGGTCAACAGACAGCCGACGTCAATCAAAATCCCTCCGTCTTATTCACACAACACAAACCGAAGGAGACCCGGCAAAAAACGTGAACAAAAAGTAAAACCGCAAAACATTTACCCAGCCAACCAGTCAGACTAACCTGCTTGTACTCGACCAGCTCCAGCTGCAGGGCAGCGATTTCACGCCTCAGCTGTGAGATCGTACGCGAACTCTGGTCTTGATTGATTTGTACTTTGTTTTTGATGTTGCGCGCCCGGTTGGCGTACTTGAGCGTATTGAGCGTCTCCATGAAGTCGCGATCGCTCGGTGACACACAGGCAATCATGATCGTTTGGCTATTTCCTGAAATTGTGGCATTCAATGAGAGAAAATAGATCCGTTTTCAATTGCCATTCCACTTACCACCCAGCGAATCCTGCAGCAGTCGGGTCAGCTTCGAGTCCCGATAGGGGACGTGTGAAACCTTCTTCGATTTATCACCGAGCGCCGATATCACGTTGCCAAGTGCCAGCAGACCGCAGTTGATTGAGATTCCTTCTCGGGCTCGTTCACCTGTTGCGCCGGTTCGTTTGAGCCGCTCCGAACCGGCCAGATCCACAAAGTGGAACTTGGATGTGAGTGTTTCCAAATCCCCTTCCGGGTTGCCACTTTCTTCGGCACTCATCACCCGCTGCCGTCGAATAAGGATTGTGAAGAGAGCATGACTGCGGGACGATTGTTCATTCATCTGGGTGGAAGCCGTCGTGCGTGCCAGGGCACCCTGCTGCAGGCAACGTAAGGCATCTTGCGGTCCGGTGAGGGACTGTATAGTCGCCCCAGCCACCGATATACCACCGCTGGCATCTTCATGAATTTTGAACAGGCGACCCTGAAGAAAGTTGCATGTTACATGGATTAATTTTCAACATAATTTTACCAGGCATCTTATTCTATTCATCACGACACATACCTTACTGTAGGGATCGAGCAGGTCGATAATTTCCTCGTTGTACAGTTCCATAAACTGCGCTGCAACGCTGAACTGCAACGATCCCAGATACACTCCGTCCTCATCGTAGGGGTTCTCTTGCAGCTGGGTGATACCCTCGAAGAGATGCCGAACTGCACGTGGGATTATGCCTTCTTGCATTTCCGGAATGTCACGCTCGAAGCCGGTTCCCATTGTGTAGGTTTTTCCTGAACCAGTCTGTCGAAGAACGAATGATACATTTGTCAATAAATTTTCCTTACCGTGCGCCGATCGATTCGAGCAAAATGTGGGGCGCACCGCCAGTGGAACACACGAATGCAAGTTTAATAATAAATCATTCCGGCTTACCTGTCCGTAGGCTAGCACCGTTGCATTGTAACCTTTCAGCGAGCCTTCGACCAATTTCTCGACACAGTTGGCATACACGGAAACCTGAGTAGTGAAAAAAGATAAGCAAAAAACAACAAATTAATCCGATATGCTAATCGCGTACAGCAGACGGGTTGCACAAGCTTTCCTCCGCTAGTCAGTAGCTAAAACGTTTTAAGACATTCGGGATGTGTTGGGGCGTTCTGAAGGACTGCTTGCTGCAGTTGTTGGGTGTAAAGAATACGAAAAAGCAGCTACCGGTTTGAGAAGAACACGAGAAACAGTTCATTTCAATTAGGCTAGACACAGCAGCTGCGGATTATGCTTTCATGATTAATTAACTCGAATTAGGTGCATGCTGCGACAGATATGGAGCAATAAGTGGAACCTGGAACACGAAAACTGAAGACCCGTTTTCTCGTTGGCTCTGGTGTGTTTATCAATCATGTGGAGTTTACCATGTAACTCATTCACTGTGGTGCATAGGCCAACGTGAAAGATTAGTTCCAAGTAAACGAATTGAAGAATTAAGTATAGCTTATTGTATTTGAGCTTCAGATAGCCTAGTCAGTTAAGCTGGGCAGGCCAGTGCATTTAAAAATTTAAATTCCAGGTTTTCCCCGGTTTAAGGTGCAGCTTCGTGGAGAGCACTGAGATTTTCGAACGATCGTAAACATCAACCATTTCAATTAAAATGTAGGGTAATGCCAACGATTACCGAAAAATCACTTCTAATCATGGTATAACAAAGGAATATATAACAGCTGATTTTAACAATAGATGCCGCTAATAAGAAATAGTTAAAATATTATATAGCTTCCCCTGCCCTAATTCTGAAACAACGTAAATTTTTGGATTTTTGGGAAAATATTCGTCTAATAGCAATTTTAAAAGTTTCATATATACAATAAATTTTTTAAGTCCGAAAGCCACTAGGCTACTGCGCAGAATGTTGGAAAGTTTTAAATTGAGCTTTTAAAATCTTGTAAGTTAAAAATGCTCATGATTTTGGGACAAATAAAATTTTTAAAAATTCTGTGGATTGTTGAAAATGAGATTGGATGAGAGTTCTAAACGCATTCTAGCGATGATTCTAGAAAAAATCTGTGAAGAATTTCACGAGAATTCGCTAAAAAATTCAAGACCATTTTATGAAAGTTGTTGGGATAATTAAAGGTGTATTCTAAGGAAGCTTTGAAGAGAATTAGCAGCATTCTAGGGTATTCAAAGTCAAATTTGAAGAAATTTCAGGGAGCGTTTCTAAGAAGTAGGGGAAATGGCTCTAATGTTGGCCTATGGATCTAAGATTGGGCCCATCGCTAAAAAACTGCTATTTATCAATTTTATCTAGATGAACGCGTCATTGGGACGACAATATTAGATACTTTTGGTCGCTATTGAAAATTTAGTCGATTGCTGGATGTATGTATGGGCCCAAATTAGGGCCATTTAGGCCGACATTACAGGTTGATCACGAAAAAATCCGGACACGAAAATCTTGTCGGGGTTTAAAAATGCGGTTTATTTTTCTTTGTTCTTTAGTAGGTATTATGCTTATTGTAAGACCATTGTTTCAGTTTTCCTTCTTAACACTGATAAACAGACGTAACACTTCATTGTGTATCCTCGTTCACGCATTTAACGGTTGATTTGAATATTATCATTTCCGCGAACTACTCGCAGCAGCGGATCGCTTTGACGTTTCTATACATTATATAGAACTTTTATGCAATATTGTTTGCGAGTTAGCGAGCAAGCTTGTTTTCCGCGAGAAGCCCGAGAGATGTCGTTACTAAGGTCCTATGTTTTGCGATACTATGTTTTCAAGAAAAAACTTTTTCAAAGAGTTTGTCTGTGTTCTTAACATACGTCATTGCTCGAACTTTTCTTCGTACACAGCCCATCATCTTTTGCACGAGCCCTGTAGCCAATGTTTGGCTTCCAAATTCCATTTCCGCTTGAAATCCTTTAGGTCAATTACAGTTCCACCATTTTTTCTTCAGTATGTGCTTCATAATTGACCAGTATTCCTCAATTAAAGGGTGATACGGTCAAAATTTGGTCAATATCAACTTGATGTATTTCTTTCAATTTTGCATTTAAAAAACCTGAACACCCCTCATTTTGAAGGTGTGTGTGTGTAGAATGTTGCTCCTATTTTGATTTTGGAATTCACTCTTCAGTTGTCAAAATGCCGTCCAAGCAAGAAGAGCAGCGTATCAAAATTTTGCTCGCGCATCGCGAAAATTCGAGCTACTCGCACGCAAAGTTGGCAAAATCGCTAAAAGTTGCCAAATCAACCGTTACAAATGTAATTAAAGTGTTTGGGGAACGTTTGTCGACAGCCAGGAAGTCTGGATCGTGGGGAAATCGAAAACCGGAAGCCGCTGAGACGACAAAGAGAGTTGCCGGTAGTTTCAAGCGAAACCCTAACCTCTCTCTCCGAGATGCCGCAAATAAGCTGGGTGTATCGTCTACAACCGTGCATCGAGCCAAAAAACGAGCCGGACTATCGACTTACAAGAAGGTAGTGACTCCAAATCACGATGATAAACAAAATACGACGGCCAAAGCGCGATCCCGAAGGCTGTACACGACGATGCTGACAAAGTTTGACTGCGTGGTAATGGACGACGAAACCTACGTCAAAGCCGACTACAAGCAGCTTCCGGGACAGGAGTTTTATACGGCAAAAGGAAGGGGAAAGGTAGCAGATGTTTTCAAGCACATGAAACTGTCAAAGTTCGCAAAGAAATATCTGGTTTGGAAAGCCATCTGTACCTGTGGCTTGAAAAGCAGCATTTTCATAGCTTCCGGGACTGTCAACCAAGAAATTTACGTGAAAGAGTGTTTGAATAAACGTCTGCTGCCTTTCCTGAAGAAACACGGTTGTTCCGTACTGTTTTTGCCGGATTTGGCATCTTGCCATTACGGTAAAAAGGCCATGGAGTGGTACGCCGCCAACAACGTGCAGGTGGTTCCCAAGGACAAGAACCCTCCCAAGCAGCTCTGCCCAATTGAGAAATACTGGGCTATTGTCAAGCGGAACCTAAAGAAGACCAAAAAAACTGCTAAGGGCGAGCAGCAGTTCAAGGCAAACTGGCTTTCTGCGGCGAAGAAGGTGGACAAGGTGGCTGTACAAAATCTGATGGCAGGGGTCAAGCGTAAGGCCCGGCAATTCGGATTTGGAAAAGCGGAAGCCTAACTGAATATTTTTCCTGAATTTTATACTAATTGAACTTGAAAAAGAAATTTAATTTGATTTTTTAAATAAACGATTTCACCGATTTACACGCGTTTTCCCTTGACCAAATTTTGACCGTATCACCCTTTAGTCTTAGTTCTCGAATATTGGCTAGATTCACCTCCCTCTGGGAACCACTGTGACGCCATTTTGGCTGTACCACTGTTTGGTGGAGTTTGAGTAGTGGCAGCTTGCCAAGTCCAGCCAGAATAGGCAATCATCCTCATGCTGCTCCAAAAAAGGCAGTAGTCTCTTCCGTGGGCACGGTAAATTTGCTGGTTCATGGTCCCAGAAGTATCCAAAGTTTTGCTTTTCAGCCCCGAACTGCAGATTGCTTGCCAGATAAGGAACTTTTTGTGGAATTTCGACTTCTTTTTGATTTTACATTCTTCCGGTCAACCGAGGTATTCCAGGAATTTGATTGAAAAATGCCAGGAGCGGATAGACCGACATTTTCATTTCGAGCGTGCAGGATCGAATCGCGATGTGCTCCGGTGAAGCCATGATGTAAACAAATGAACTTATCATGACAACCAATGCCTACTGTAATTCTATACGCTCTTAGCATGAATCAGTGAAATTAGAAAAAAAAAAATATTCAAAAATACCTTAATGGCAGCGTTTTTAATGTGTCCGGATTTGTTCGTGTGTAATCAGATGTAATTCTCTAAATGTTAATCAATCAATCAGAGTGAATTAGGTATGAGGGCTGAGTTCCTATATAATGCCGATAATAATTCCAAGCGAATCGAATTCTAATGCTCAAGATTCCTGAGAATTATGAGTTGAATGTCTTGGAATTTCTGGGAGCATTCCAAAGAAATTCTCAGGAGAATACAAAGCCAATTCTGAATAGCAATCCAGGAGTATTGTGGAGAGAGTTTCAAGGGATTTCAGATAAGATTTTCAGAATTTCAAGCATTGCAAGGGGCAAGAAAACTTAATTACTGGGTGGCCACTCGATTTGAGACAATAATTTTCCGGTTTTTCCCGGGGCCCAACCATATATTTTCCGGTTTCATATAAATAACTAAATATGGTAATAAACGAATACCGGGGATGATGCCACTGAAGAAAAAAATACAGTACACTCAGGTCTTTTTTTACACGAGGGATACGTACCGTGTAAAAAAACCGTGTAAAAAAAACCTACGAGGTTTTGATTTTTCACATGTTTAAATGTTTTTTTTTTTTTTAAATCGGATTTTGATGCCATTTGTAATTATAGTATGCTATGGTCCATGTAGACATATTTTAAAAATTTCTGTATTTACACCAAAAATTGTGATTTTTTTTAATTGTATGCCATTCGATTACCTATAGCTTGGAACGGACAATGGGATTGGAATCAAGTCGATAGGTTGTATCGTTGTCGAGAAATCGTTAAAAACGTACCGTGTAAATCGCGAAAAACCGTGTAAAAATAACCGTGTAAAAAAAACCGTTTAAAAAAAGACTTCAGTGTATTTTATTTTCAATGCTGTTCCCACCCACCAGAACTCTACTGAGAACTCAACATAAATTTTCCGAATTTTCAATATGTATTAGGTTTCAAGATCGCAACAAATTGTCAAATTATGCTCCATAATTTAGACAAATTTATGGAGTCTAAAAGTCTCAGAATTTTGAAATGTATCTAAGTTAAGGGCAAATTATTGGAAGGACACTACGTCGAATTCATAGATTGAGTTTGGAAATTATTTTAGAAAACAATGAAATCTACAATGAGATCTATAAACATTGAATATTGCGTATATAAAGGGTGTCCACGATGAAATTGCCACACACAAAATTGATTCGCAAAATTCGAGTTTTCATC